TTTCGAGAACAGCTCTTCTTGTAGTGAAAATTAGCGCTCTCCTCAGTTTTTCTTTCCCTCTCGCCCTTATGCTCCACATAAAACTCAAAACTCCATATATACTGTGTTCGCCTCATGTTCTCGCACTGCTTCAGCCGAAGCTAACCCTCTTCTTTTGCTTGAACTTCCTGTCCTTTTCCTTGATCTTGTCTCCCTCATCACTCTTTGCACTCGGCTCGCTGTGCCTCTTCCTCTTCTTCTTCTTGAGATCCTGTTTCCTCTCCTCAAATTTGGCCTCCTTGTCTTCTTTCCTCGCCTCGGCTTCTTTCCTCTTGGCTTCACGAATCTCCTCCAACTGGCGCGCTTTGGCAATCTTGGACTCGAGGTGCCCTTCTTTCTCGGCGTTGACAACGGACATGATGGCCATCTGCAACAGTAGCATGATTAGTAAGATCGGCATCTAAGGTACAACTTGCGAAAGAGAAATTAGGGGGACGAGAAGTTCCATACCATGCTAGCCGGATCATCCACAAACTTCTTTCCCTTCTTGACGCCTTTTGGCTTCGCAATGCCAGCGGGGATGATGCCGTTGAGCGCTGGGATGTCCAGCTCTTTCTCTGTATACACCCTCTTTTTCTTTTTGCCATCTCTTGTTACGATTGATTTGGTCTTTTGCTCGCCACCTGGTTTAGCCAACGACAACGACTTTTGCTTGCGCTTCGATATGCCCTCTGGCGCACTTCCAGTAGGTTTCGATTTCGATTTTGAGGATTTACTGGAGCTGCCGCCAGATTTTCCTTTGGCGCCTTTGCCTTTGGAAGCCGGTTTGGTTGCGCCCATCTTGGCGAAAGCAGGAAACGGGTTGGTAAGAGTAGTGCTTAGAAAAGTTCTGTGAAGTGGAATGAATAAACGGCAGCGCTGGGGACTTTTTTGGGCAGATCGGCGTTTTGGAGCTGCCGATGGGGAACGTCAAGTGCCAAGGCAACAGGCGCGCGACCCCAGCAGGCGCATCCGCAGCGACAGCTTCCCCAGCATCATCACGCCCTGCCTCGCTGCTCAACGACTCTTCCCAACGCCCGCACCCACATTTATCTCATAGTCGCATACGGAGGTCTCAAGTCATCATGGAGGGTTCAAATCGCCTTTTCCGCTTCCCGAAGCCCGCATGGCTGAACAGCGCAAACACAAGGACCGCAGGCGTCTACATTGCAGGAGCTCTGGTGCGGACTACTCCATATAGCCAACAGTACTGATGCATATACTGATATCGCCTTGCAGTTCGCTCTCGGTTTCTATACCCTCATCGACATATCGGTATGGTCCAAGTCGGCCATGAACGGCTCCGACCCACGCGTCCATATCACTTTCGTCGACTGGGTCCCGGGCATTTGCAGCGCCCTCGGCATGCTAGTCATCAACAGCATTGACAAGTCGCGACTCTCTGCTGATAGCTTTTCTTACTCTGGAAACGGTGTCGCGTGGAAGGCCAGGCTAGTGCTGTTCCTGGGCTTCGCGCTGCTGGCCGGCGGATTGGCGGGAAGTGTGGTGGTTATGGTTATGAAGTTTGTTGTGCCAGAGCACACATGGCCAACCCTGTGGATGGGCGTTGGCAATGTTGTTGCCAATGCGCTGGTTATGCTGAGGTGAGTACACAGTCTCGAAGGAATGCGCGAGCATGCTTGCTAACATGTCACAGTTCCGCGGTGCTTTGGGTTGCACAGAACATGGAGGATGAGTACACGTACAACCTGGCGTTGTAAGAGTGCGACGTGAAGTTGAAGTCTGTTGGGTATAGCCTGTCCGACGTCATCCGGATTGAGGGATGGTTGTGTTACGCAGGATACTTTATGTTGAGGCGCTGAGCGGAGCGACAATGATCGCAATGTACGAATATGCTTGAGATGCTAGTTTCCATTAATTCAATAGCCTTTGTCATGTTTCATATCCGGTTGATCAAGGAGTTTGCATTTACATTCTCGTTGTAGTTCTTTTGGTTCAACCAATGCATTATGTCCAACATACTCGTACAAGAACGCTCATAAAAACTGTACAGGTAACAGAAATATGCAGTAGCAACAGTCCATCCATCCAGGCATGTAGCCTTCATTACCAAAGTGCCTCGACTCCTTTTCGAGGCGCCAAGCCATGCGCTTGGGGATAGTATGTATGCGGTCCCTCATTGCTGAGTTCCGCCGGCTAGTCAGAAGTCCTCTTGCTCCTGGAAGAACAGCGTGAAGCTGATGATGGTCGCGTAAATCAACAGACCGCCGAAGATGGACATGGCTGCGGCACCTCCTGCGATTTCTGCCGAATGCCACAGGAGCGTTGGGAGCGCTGGTGTGAGTCAGTCTTGGGTTCGATTCACGTTTCCACAGGTCCTTTGCGCTTTCTCTTGAGAGTGCAGGCACGCAACCGCCCAAGGCGCATACCGAACGCGTATTCCAGGAGAGCACTTACCGATACCCATGACCACGAAGAAGCCGGTCAAGAACCTTCCAAAGTCGACCACACCGTTTCCAGAACTCTCCATAAAGTCATCATGGTTCGCTGCTCTGCTGCAAAGCCAGTTGGGTAGGGGTGCGATTACGTAGGTCGCAACAACGAGGAGCGTGAGGTAGTTGTGGAAGAGCGCGGCGGAGAGAATAACGAGAAGAAAGCCTATCGCGAGGACCTATCGTGTATTCCATTAGCATTTGACGACATGCGATCAGGGAACGCGCAAGGATGCGCCAGCTTGACGTACGAAGGACAGTCCGATGATGGTCTTGATGCCGGCCATGCTGGAATCGTGCTTGATGCCGCAGATACAATATAGTAGTCGTTAACGAATATACGCCTGAGTCCTGTGATATCAATCCCCGTTCCGGCGAAGATGTGAGAGCTGCGGTGTGGTTGGTCTTGTTGCGTGTGGTCCAGACGCCTGCTGGTGAGGTTGCGCGCTAGGGTGCTGCCTACCTGCCAAGCATCGGAGCTTCTGGAGCTCGTCGTCAACGACGGCTGCGGGAACCTCCAGCAACACCATCACAACCACTACACATTGCCCCACTCCGCCGCAACGCAATCTCCTGGTGACAGCACCTCGCCGCGTGCACACCAGTCATTGTCCTAGCCAAAATCTTGCTACCGTGAAGCCAATCAACCCGTTTTTGGCTCTAACAACCCCACAAATCCCACCTTCATCATGTTCAGAAACAACTACGACAACGACTCGGTCACCTTCTCGCCACAGGGTCGTATCTTTCAGGTCGAGTATGCACAAGAGGCTGTCAAGCAGGGTTCAGTTGTTGTAGGCATTGTCAGCAAGACACACGCAGTACTTGCAGCAATCAAGGTAGACGCCTCCATTGCTGGTTTGATGTCGACAAATATAGCTAACACGCCATACAGCGAAATGCCGAGGAGCTCTCTTCATACCAGAAGAAGATCATCCCCGTAGATTCCCACTTTGGTGTCGCCCTTGCTGGTCTCGCCTCCGATGCCCGCGTTCTCTCCAACTTTATGAAACAGCAATCACTCGCATCCCGCCTCACGTACGACCGCGCCATTCCTCTCTCTGAAATCACTTCGCGTATTGCAGACCGTGCACAAACCAACACGCAGCAGTATGGACGGAGACCTTACGGTGTTGGGTTGTTGATTGCAGGTGTAGACGCAAAGGGACCTCACCTGTTTGAATTCCAGCCCAGTGGTGTCACACAGGAGATGATCGCATGCGGTATTGGAGCCAGGAGTCAGATGGCAAGGACATACCTCGAGAGGCATCTGGATGAGTTCGAAGGCGCCAGCAGGGAGGAGTTGATCAAGCACGCTCTGAGATCACTGAAGGAGTCGCTATCACAGGACAAGGAGCTAACAGTCGACAACACCAGCGTTGGTATTGGTGGCATTGGCGAGAACTTTGCGCTTTACGAGGGTCAGGATCTTGCTGAGTGGCTAGACGCTACGTTCGAGAACAGAGAAGGCGGCGATGACGCGGAGGGCGGCGAGGCTATGGAGCTGTAGGAGGCTTAGTTTCTCACGGTTCACTACAAGCATCATAGGTCTCAGGCGTAGGACCAGGAGTGCTCCTTGACGAGGGGTTACTGTAGATCACGACACGGCTGCGCTTTTACCAGCAGGCAGTCTATGAAAATATAATGAACATGACTCCAAGACCATTTCAGAGTACTGCTATTTTGCCGAAGACTGAATGAGTGCGCGGAATGGTGGTGATATGGCTGCTTGAGAGCTGTCGGTGATTGTTCACGTGATGTTCCAAGCTCCGAGCCGCATCCGCGAAATCTCGCTGCAGCTCAACCTTTGCCAACTGCATCCGCAACCCGCAAAACCCGTTCATAGCCACGAAACCACATCCAACCATCACAATGGCATTCGCGTGGAAAGCCGCCGGTCTCACGTACGCCTTCCCGACCCTGCAGTCGCTGCATTTCTGCCATTGGAACCGCAATTGACTCTTGAGCAGCTACAACCGCTACATTGCCGTCGCATCGCGCGTCGTACGTCGCTCGCTCAAGGATGACAAGCGCATTGCTGCCGAGCGAAGGGGCGAGAGCGAACTCAAGTTTGCGAAGTGGGAAGTGAGTGCATACCTGAAGTTGAGGGGAGGCAGGCTAGGCAGGAACTAATGAATTGGGCAGAATGGCAAGCAGGGCGAGGTAAAGGACCTCAACGCTGCCGCACTCCAGGCACAGGCCGATGCCGCCAAGTCTTCGTAAATCAATTCAGGAGGAGACGACAAGGGCACGATAGGGTGATATGGAATGCGGAGAGGAGCTGGGGGAGGATGGACGTATACTCTGTACTATCAAGCCGTACGGGGAGGATTTAGGTCAATTCATGACAAAACTGAACTAAATAGCTCTCCCGGTCTCTCACAATACTTTTTCTGTGCTCGTAGACAGTTGTTTTGGGAATTGCCTTAGTGACCACCAGTGCCGGTCATCAGGGCTTGTCTTAGGTGCTGCACCTGCAACTCGGCTGTCACAATCTTCCCGCCCTGGAAAACGACTCCACCTCACAACATGGCAGATGCGTCTAACAGCCACAGCACAGCCCCTGCGCAGAACCTGGACGTAAATAATAATCCCGACATTGCCGGTATATTGAGAGCGATCTGGTCGTGCTGCAACTATGCACCTCACTAATGTCATGCTCAGATCTGTCGCATGCGCAAGAGCCCGCGCCTGTCTTTCAGCCGACTACTCCCACTGACTTGCCCCTGAGACAGTCGAAACATTCGGTGGGCGGGACACGGCCGAAGATTCATGATGTGACCGAGAAGTTTACACGAGCGTGTAATGGTAAGTCGACCGATGTGAACATTGGAGGGGCATGGCGGGGCTGTGCCGTGAAGCCGCCTGCCGCCCGCGATGACCCAAGTATCACTACATCTACGGAATCAGACGGTAGCTGACAGATGAAATAGCTCTGGAAGTCGGTCAACTAGTTAAAGATGACTACTTTACGCTCTTTGAGTCTATTGGGGCAATCGAGGTAGCCGACTCTTGCAATTGAAGTTGGCTTCTTACTGATCCGGATCAACAGATCATGGATCCCAAGATGGATAGTGGATTCCTCCAACCCGGAGAGACTCTAGAAGACGACTATGATACACTAACACCCCTTCTACCAGAGGAACTTATCGGCATCATGGACCAACTGTTGTGCTACGAAATGGCATGGCACACAGGCTATCCTTTGTCACAGACACTCTTTACATCCGTCTACATTGACAAGCTACTATGGCCAGAAGTCAAGGAACTGGAGCAAGCGCAATTCTACCGTGGCGAAATTCCCAACGAAAGAAAACCTGGACCATTACTAGACGTACTAAGGGCGTATTGCTTAGGTTTGATCAAGGGATGTGACCTTGTGATAGCGAAGGTCACTGGTAGAGACTACTATGAAGAGGAGGATTTTTGTACACACACGTATAACCGAGTATTGTTCGTGAGCACGCCAATGGATGCTTTTTTGAGAGAGTTGGATGCTGCCGTTGACATAATAGAGGAGTAAGTACTTTCGTCTTTACAGACTATTTGCGGCAAGCTTACAATCGGCAGTCCCGATCTTGATATCAATGACGCTCTTCGAAAAGCCGTTCTATCGAGACTAGAATTACGGACAGATTTGCTTCAGGCTTTTGACGTGGATCTTGCGGTTGAGGGAATGCCCTACTCTTGGCCACCGGTACTCGAGATTATTGACACGCTAAGGACTACTCATCAACTTGGCCAGACAGTACCTGGTGCTTTCAGTCCGAAAATGCAACGGCGGCTTGCCTCTACCGTTCCTCCACGGCCTATTGTTGAACTAGATTTCAAAGATGCGTTAGGAAAGCTGGAGAATATGGCGTCCGCTTGCCACGAAGCCACTCGGTTGATCTCCATCAAGCTTGATCCGCTCGAATACCAATCATTCCTCTGGCACTTCTCGTCCCGTTCGCCACCAACCCTCACATATTCCAGATCATATCTATCAACTATTGTACACCATCCAGAAATGTACAATCCAGCAATGTCGTTGTCGCTTGGGGACGTAAAAACTCTCGTTTTGCCCGCCTCTCCCATTCTAGACCCCGGCAACTGGACTCTCTCACCACCACGCAACCCACTTCTCCCCAAGCCACCACGCCTCCAGCTGGCCCTTCTTATGGACGATTTTGTAGAGCGCGCAGACCAAGCCTACCTCGACCTCTGGGTTGCCTTGGTCCAGAACCGGTGTCGAGTCCGGCGCATGTTGAGGCACGTTATTGGCCACTGGGATATGCTGCAATCCGAGGCAAGTGTAACCGACAGTGAAATCTCCGCTGCAGCCAACGAAATGGGTGTATCCGACGCTGTCATGGAATTCTCTCTCTCGACATGGGCATACCACAAGAAGCTCTGGATCATCGAAAAAATGATCCTACTTGGCTTCGAGCAGGAAATCTACCTCCCAGACGAATATGCAGGAATGTACCTCTTCCTCTCTCTCATCACCACGCGCAGAAAAGAGCTGCTGCGTAGAGTCCAAACGCACTATACCACCCACAAATTCAACCTCCTCCGCCAAGGAAAAATGCAAGAGAAGCAGCAAGTAGACGACGCGGAGCCGTATGTCGCCAGTCTAATCGCCGAAGCGGAAGCAACCGCTTCCTTCAGTCTAGCTTTAGCACGCTTCTACATTGTACTATTGTATTTGCATCTCCTACCTATCCCCAGCCGTCCCTTTTCTACCGAGAAACTGCGCTACGAAGTCCGCATGAAACCGTTTCTAGGGCTTCAGCCCCCCGAGGTCCCGGACTTTGATGACTTCAAAGCGCACACTCAGCTATATGGCGATGTGGCTTCGCCTTCTCCTGAGTTCGCTGAACACGTAGCGCACTTGGACTCGGCGCTGTGGAGCGAGATTGATGGACAACTTAGGACGGCGAAAGCGGCGTTTGCAGAGTACAAGCGGATTGGCGTGCAGGCGGCGAAAGCGGAGGGTGTGGAGAGTAGTTGGGATGGAGAGGTGCAGAATGCAGTGGCGAGTTGTGTGGCGTTGGGTTTGGTGGTTACGGAGATTAAGGAGTGGGTTGCGGAGAAGGGGGTGAGCGTATCGGGTATCAAGGTTGAGATTCCAGAGGCGGGGGCAGGGAAGAGATATGCGGATGGGTGGGTTGTACCAAAGGTTGTCAAGGAGTGAGGTATATGTTTGGTTCGAGTATGCGGATGCGTAAAAGATCCAGCGTTCGCATCTGTTGTAGATAGGATATAGAATCGATTTCCCTGTTCATCATACGTGTGAAACTACGAACCCGGGTATCATATCAAATCATGCGCCTAAAAACACCTTTAACCCATTTGCCTTTCCTTTCCCCCTCACGCATCACTATCTCATACCCCTTTACCCCTTATACTTCCTCAACACATCCTCACTAACCCTCTTTACACTCCTCGCCGAGACGCCCCTCTCCCCACGTTGCTTACTCTTGATACTCGCCTCATTAATCAATCTACACAGTACTCAGTCAGCGTCCCTTCTTCCAATCCACCACCACTATCAAGATATCCATACAAATCCCTAGGAAAAAAAAGGAAATGGGAAAGAAATGACTCACTCTTGCATAAACAGCACATAGTTCAAATAGATCTAACCCCACAGGTTAGCTACATTTCCTCTGTCCTTTTCCCCCCTGTTCAATGTTCACCTTCGGTGTATACGGAAAAGGGGGAAGGGTGAATTAGAACGTACGAGAATATCAACATTCTTGCTGAGCGGCCTGTTCGAATGCGCTTTTACTATTTTCTTGACTGTGCCGCGGGGGTAGAGGGTAGGTGCCATGGTGTAGGGAGATGTGATTTCCACTTTTTTCTTTGTGTTGCGCGTCTTTGAATTTTTTTTAATAAGTAGTGGTAGATGTCAATGTGGTATTATGTAAAGTGACTCCGTGGGTTGTGATGTCTTGACTCTTTGGTGGGCGTGTATGGCCGGGGGACGTGTTTGGGTGTTGGCGTTAGACACTGGTCAATGGCATGCCAAGGCTGACGCGCGGGCACGTGAGAGCTACAGTTTGGTCTGATGTGATCCACGACCTGCGTCATAGCCCACATACGTACGTAGTGCATTCACCAATTGATCTCAAAATGATAACTATCTCACATACTAACGCGGCAATTAGTTTCAAACAACCCAACTGAACAAAAGAACTCTCATATGAGATGCATCTATCGGGACTATCACAAGATAATGTTACACAAGCCCCGGCCAAACGAGATTCTCCCTCTAAACTTCACTACAAGATTGTTGTATTTACGCTTTGAGGCCAAGGTCTTCAGCATATGGTAGTTGGAAAAGATCACCAACAGCTGATACTGAAGCGGTGGACTCAAGTAGTTCCTTGGCGGCCTGTATCCATTGATTAGCATATTGCATAGATCCCAGAAACGAGAATGGACTTACCTTCTTGAGAGTCTCTTCTGAGACACCATCAATCTTCTTGGCAACCTCGTCAATTTGGTATGGTTGAGTGTTGTGGATCAGACCGTTGCCAGTAAGCTCAAGGCCAGCGCGGATGTCCTGGCCGTTCTCGAGCTCCTTGAACTTGGCGGCGGCCTTTGCCTTGGAGACCTCCTCGCTTGAGATCTCACCAGCGGCGATCTTCTTGATGGCATCAACGGAAGCCTGGGCGGTTTGTGCGACAGCCTTGGCGGAACCGGTGATGGTGGTGTAGAGGAGGCCGGCGTCGGAGTAGATGGCGCTGGTGGTCGTGACCTTGGCACCTGGTGCGGCGGCCTGTCCGAGCTTGGTGAAACCTGCCGACCACTTGATGGCTGATTGGCCACCGAGCAGAGAGCTGAGAACAGCGATTTCGGGCTTGTAGAACTTGCCGGTGATGGAGCTGGAACCAGGGAAAGCAATGACCATGGCGTTGCCGCCATCGTGGGCAATACGCTCCTCACCACCGTAGTACTTGCTCTGTTCGGCACCAATGCTTGACTCCTGGGCAGCGGAGCTGGGAACGTTGTCGAAGAACTCGCCAACCCACTTGGAGAACTGGCCGTGGTCGGCACCGTTAGCGACAACGGCGAAGTTGGGCTTGGCGTAGGCAATCTTGGAGTAGTACTCAATGGTCTCGGCGTCGAGGTACTTGGTGTACGGGGTGGGCGAAGCGGAGGCAGTTGGGGTACCGAGGCCACGGTGGAAAGCGAGGCCGTGGGCAGACTGGGTGGCCATATCTGTGACGCTGGCGAGGAAGCGCTTGTGGGCGAAGTGGATCAAGGGAAGGACCTCCTCATTGTAGACGTGGGCTGCATCATGTTAGCTGGGGCTCATTGTCGTCTCATTTCCCCACTGGGGCGCTCGGCATACGCAGGTACTTGGTGGAGCTGGCGACCTCGCCGAGGAGCTCGACAAAGTATGGCAGGTCATCGCGGAGGAACTTTGCCTCGAGGACCAGGTTCTCGCGCGAGTGATGGGCGTTCAATGAGGCGCCTAGAAGCTCGGATTCGCGGACAATGCGCAGTGTTGAGCGCCTCTCGGTGCCCTGTAGATCAATTGAGCGTCAGCCGGGCTGTATGAGTGCGATGATGCATGTTCAATGGCGTACCCGGAAAGCGAAGTTGGCCAGGCCCTCGGTCAGACCAGGCAATGGCTGGAAGCGGGTACCAGCCTTGGATACGAGAGCCAGAGTCGTCGTAGGGCCGGCAAAGTCTCTGCTGGCATACTTGACGCCCTTGGCCTCGCCGGACTGGTACTGGAAGGAGCCTGAAGCTGGGGCAGCGAGTCCACGGCGCTGGGCCGGGCGGACGGCCTGCTGGCGGGCTGCACGCTGCGCGCCCCGGCAGGCGGTCGTTCGGGAGAGCATCGTGTAGAGGGCGCCGGGCGGAGGGCTGTGGATGGGGTGGGAGGCGGCAATGGATGGAGATACGTCTTGGGGTGAGGTGGATGCAGAGGGTCGACATCACAAAGTTCGTAGAGCGCCAAGGCCAGTAAGTGCCTTCGCTCCCCTCGCCATTGGCCGGTGCGGGTGCCAGAGAGCAGCCACCCCACCCGTCTCCATTTCGAGAAAGTCGGCTTGCGCTTTTCCATTCTCCCATTGCAACCATTCACTCTGCTCTACACACAGCTTCCGCCTCTCTCATCCACCCTTTGGCCTCTAATCCCCCACCAATGTCTCCCCGGTAGCACTGCCCCCTCCTAGATATCTGGCAAATATCTAGGCCCAGACATGTCTTACAACCAGCGCGAGACTCCGGTAAGCTGCGCGCCCGCCGCCATGCGCTTCCACCACATGATTCATGACCAACACTGCTCCAGATACTCGCGGATCTCTGCACCCTCCTTGTCGAGGACATCTATGGCGAACTTGCATCTGTACGTTTGACCACGAAAAAATTATTTGCGCAAGCTGCCCTGCATGACGAGAAATTCTGCTCCAGTCATGCGACAGGCGCATTCGAGTCACCTTTTCTAACTACTCACAGCGGGTATACTCAGTGCTCGCGCGCCATGGACGACAGAGCCTCGCCTCCATCGCCCGCGCTTCCTACCTAAACGCCCGGCAAATCAAATATGGCCTCGTCATTCTCCTCCAGCAGCACCTTATCTTCCACTCCGGTAGCGATGCGCCCTTGACCTACTACGAAATCGACTGGCAAAACTCGTACGCAATTGTCCGCTTTGGCAAGGTCACGAAGCTGGTCGAAGATCGCTTTGGCAAAAAGGCTGCCAATGTTATGTCCAACCTGCTCGCCCTCGGCCACACACGAATCGCCGATTTGAAAGAAGCATACTTCCCACCCGAAATAGACAGTGATGATGAGTCAGACGATGGCGCTGCAAACGGCGCTGGCTCCAAGCGAAAGCGCACCAACGGTGCTCATGTAAACGGTCACGCAAAAACAAATGGTGCTACAAATGGGGTTCCCTCTGAATTGGAGGATGTAAAGCCAGACCCGGCAACGCTGGCAAACGGCAACGGAAAAACCAACGGCGTACACAAGGCTTCCAAGGTCGACGGGGTGTCACAGAACGGCACACCGAAGGAGCCTGGTCAAGAGCAAGATGATAGTGATATCACTTCCATTGACGAGCTATACGAGCTCATCCAAACCTTGATCGAAAACGGATGGGTCAGGACTGTTACGGAAACCCAGTATCTCTCCCCTGGAGACATGCACGACATGCTCTACCAAGAGTCCATTGAACAAGACAATGCAGGCATCACACCTACTGGAACCAAAGATAAAGATATAGTCAACAGAGGCACCCTGGCCCGCAAGCGTGCAATGCGCGACGAGTGGCTGAACGTTCCAAAGTTTGCGCGGCAAACCAATGGATCTAACAAAAGAGTGAAGACTAACGGAGCGAACGGTTGGGCTGTACCATCATCGGATGACGACATTGTTATCCGCGTCAATCCTGAGAAGATTGCTGTTGCAATGCGAACACAGCAACTAGTCCATCTTGTACAACAACGTTTGGGTTCAGTCACTGCACGTGTATACCAGACCATGTTGCGCATGCTGGAATCGAAGACGCCTCGTTGCTGGGAGGAATGGCCTGAGCCGCACTTGGCTAATGTTGAACCATCTACAGAAAACAACATCGACCCTCGTTTTCTCATCACTGCGCGTGACGTTGCAGTAAAGCTCAGTCGAGAGCAGGACCTGGATATCTTTGAAGGTCTTGACCCTAATGCGGCTGTGCAAATCACTCGGAAGGGGCACGTCAACCGAACCAACATCTGGACGGCACCAACGGATCCTGCGAAGCTCAATATGGAAGAGAAGACAAAAGTCGTAGACAAACACATACAAATGCTGGCAGAAGACCCGTTTCACTTTGTCACTTGGCATTCGCGCGCCGGATTCTCACAATGGCACATTGAGTTCGACGAGATTGCGAGACAAATGATACAGAATGAAGTTGAAAACACTATCTCAGCAAGAAAAGGCACGATAGGCGTAAAACTCATCCGGGCCCTGCGGAAGAAGGGTAGACTCGACGAACGTGCAATCTGCAATGTCATGATGATGTCCGCCAATGACATTCGCGGCATCGTCAATGACCTTACAGTTCAAGGCATCGTTCAGACTCAGGAGATCCCCAAGGTCGACAGACGAGAAGCCAAACACTCTCTCCACCTGGTCTGGTATGACCGACAGCGCGCTCGCGAGAAACTGCTCCACGACACATACAAGGGAATGGTGCGCATCCTTCAGCGCATAGCCTACGAAAGAGAGAAAGTACAATTCCTCCTTACCAAAGCGGAACGTTCCGATGTTGTGGGAAATGAAGAGAAGTGGCTGAGCAAAGGCGAGCTGGATGCACTCAGAAAATGGAAGGAAGTGCAAGAAAAATTACTCTTGCAGCTCTTCCGTGAGGATGATCTAGTGGCCACTTTGCGCGACTTCCATGGCCCATTGATTTCCGCATAGGGCTATCATCTTGCATTTGTCTACGTGACCGGCTTCGGCCCCGAAATTTGTGCGAGAGCATTTATCAATCCGGCGTTCTATGGAAACATTTTTCCGTCTGGATTCAGTATTCAGCGCATCATCAAAAAAGCTACTGGTATGAAACGATACCCCCTAGCATCTGGGCGGCGTTATAATCTCTTTCGACGATTTCATTGTAAGATTTGCGAGAGCTATGAGAGCTACAAAAGGAAGACTGGCAGTAATTGATTGTGTTTTCTGTTAAGACATGGGCATTATGTACATTCAATACACTGCAAATACGCTTCGAACTATTTATCATCATGTCATTACCTGGGACCAATCATTCAAAAGTAATTTTTTGTTCAAAGGTGCTGTTGTCATAACCAAAAAGATTTCTTTGTTCTTGAGTATACAATGAGCTTGTGCATGACCATCAGGATCTCGACATGTTCTTGTGACAAGTCCCTTCTAGCATTGTTGAAATTAAATCTTCGATTATGTTACTGTGATTTCCGTAGTCATGAAAAAGTATTCTGATACATCAACTGCAGAACTCGATATCTCATTTTGTCTTAGGAAAGTACGTCTGCGTGACTAACCATGTCTCCTCGCATTACCAAAACCTCCCTTCGCCGCGAACATAGCTCCAGCACCGTCTCCAATCAAGAAAGCCAGCTCGTGCGAAGATCAGCGCGTCTAGCAAAAAGGGCCACATGGCAGAGATATGCATCTCGCACTCAATCCGATAGCTCACCAGCTCGCGCAAAAATTCACACCAACACCATCACTGCACCATTTAACATCGCAACCTTTGTTAAACCCAACAACTCCCGTCGCTCTCAACCACCCGCATTCCCATTCATAATTGACTCAACTGCTGACTCTACATCATCATCATCATCATCATCCGAATACCCGGACAGCGACATCGAACTCGCCACACATGACCAATCTACCCCCTTTCCCCCTCCTCACACACCCTCCCTAACACGCGCCACACGACACAAGCGTAGTAAAAGCTCCAACAGTACCTACGCATCCAGCAACGAATCCTACGAACTCGATGGTTTCGTCGTCAGCGACAACCACACCGACGACATTGACTACGGCTACGACGCCGACGAGTCCGCCGCAGATGAAATCCAAAGAAAAAGCAGTATCTACTCTACATCGTCCGAGGACACTTTGTTCGTCCCCGAGGTCAAGGTTAAGAAGAAGAAGAAATTGCTCCACGAACATCTACCGTTTCGTAATAAACAGCTTGGAACGACATCTTCAGAAGATGTAGCAGAGCAAATCTCAGATGCTATACTGCTTTTCTCGCGGAGGTGTAATAGGGGGAGGAAGGCTATGGGTGTTAGAGTTACGGATGGGGATATGCGGGATAGGGAGGTGAGGGAGGGGTTGGAGAGAGCAGGGAAGTTAGGATTGGTTGAGAAAAAGGAGGTGAAGGTGGGGTGTGTAGTATGGTATTTTGGGGCCCAGGGTGACAAGAGTGTCATGTGAATGACAGAGAGGCAGCGTGCTTATGGGACTTGGGATTCGCTAGGCCTTACTTTGGCAAATTGTAAGAGACATGAAAAAGTCTTGGATGTTGTCTGAGTATGTGGATAATAGGATAAGTCGGAACAGTGATGCTGGAATGCGACATGTAGCATGCAGTTCCAAGAGTATTCTTGCACGTGATTGTGATCGGCGGTTCCAGTATACAGTCGAGGTACTCTGAGAATGTTATTAGAGCCGTAGTATTGGCTAGGAACAAGAACTAGAAAAGGGACGATGCGAAGTGCGGCGCGGGGGACACCGGGAAGCCAGGTTGGGATGCTTGCAATAACCGGGTATTTTGAGTTCGGAAATGGACTTGCGCATATCTTGCGTGCATAAGCCATGTAACCACGGTAAGGGCCGCAACACTATGTGCGTTCTATAGTTACAATGTACCATGTACCATACCTCATGTCCAAGATAGATGACTATGATTGCAAGAGTTGATGCTTTAATCTTGGGTAAAGGCTCAGCGGTTCTGGGACAGCTGGCAGTGGAGTCGAGAAGGAAATGAGCGATTGCGCCAAGTCTGCAGATGCAAACAACCGGATGTAGACAGTGAATACCGTTGGCCGGTGGCGTGAAGTACCCCAGACTACCTCGTTCGTTATACCTCCCACTCCCAAATCCCACCCGCAAGGGCAGATACTGGCCTTGCGACGAACTACATAAAGTCTATTCTCTTTTAAGGCTAGGTAGCCCCAGCTTGTTTGCCTGAACAGTGAGCGCAACGTCATCTGGTTCGGTAGTCGAGCGCCAGCAATTTACATGGCGCAGAAGAATAGATTAACCTGCCGGAGGGGGACCGGGAAATGTGCTCTCACAACCCAGTCGAGCACTATCAGTTCATATATGCAACCTGGTTATAGGTATTCGCTTGCAGGACCTAGTGGCGGCCAAAAATCAACCTCAAGAGATAACAAAAAAGGAAAGCTACGATGAACAATGTCATTAAAAAAGACGAGGTCATGTTAAACAACGCCGTGTGGGTATCCCAAGGCGCGCTAGTGGCATGAAGGAGCCGAGAAGCAATCACTACTTAACAGCCGACGCGAGGATGCGGCACAGAACATCGGCGCCCAGTATCTAGCTGGTTGATCAACAGTCCTCTGAGAACACACAAAGAAGGGCCATAGATGAAGTCAAAGTCGCCTAGCGCTTGGGGATTCTTGTCACCCACTCGTATCTAGTCATGCGTTCGGCCAAGCATATGTCAAGCCCAATTCCAAGGCCTACCCCAATATCATCCGCCGACTATGTTCCCTTCAGGCATAGCGTGCTCACAGGAGACAAGACTACTTGCTCGGCGGCCGGAGTACATAGCCTAGTATCCGTCCAAGAAGCAGCGTCGACGATGCACCTTCATCAAATGTGGGGACTTTGACAGTCATGAGGTGGCGTCTTCGATGCATGTTTCGAGAAGATGCGGGGGCTCAGGTACCGCTTTTCCCCCATCATGTGGCCGAATATCGGTTTGGAGAAGCCAGTCAATGGAGCTCGACTACGGCATTACGGACATTGGCACCGGCTGAAGCAATTTGGAGATTGATGAAGACTTCATAGCCGCCAGCCCAAAGGGTCGACAGCCAGCATACAAATAAGGCTCGAGAACTTCACTGTTTGTCTTTCTCTACGCAACTCACCACATTCCTTCTTGGTTCTCAAAGATGCTTTCCAACGTCTTTCTCACCACTGCGCTCGCAGCCGGCCTGGCTCAGGCCCTGCCCCAGGCCACGCCTACTCCAACCGCTGCGCCCTCTGGCAACCCTTTCGCTGGCAAGAACTTCTATGCCAACCCATACTACTCGTCTGAAGTTCACACCCTGGCCATGCCCTCGCTTCCAGCCTCGCTGAAGCCTGCTGCTACCGCCGTGGCCAAGGTCGGATCATTCGTGTGGATGGACACCATGGCCAAGGTTCCTCTCATGGACACCTACCTCGCCGACATCAAGGCCAAGAACGCTGCTGGCGCAAACCTCATGGGTACTTTCGTCGTCTACGACCTTCCCGACCGTGACTGCGCCGCTCTGGCCTCCAACGGTGAACTCAAGATTGACGACGGTGGCGTCGAGAAGTACAAGACCCAGTACATTGACAAGATTGCCGCCATCATCAAGAAGTACCCCGACGTCAAGATCAACCTTGCCATTGAGCCCGATTCGCTTGCCAACATGGTCACCAACATGGGTGTACAGAAGTGCTCACGCGCCGCCCCATACTACAAGGAGCTCACTGCCTACGCCCTCAAGACACTCAACTTCAACAACGTCGACATGTACATGGACGGTGGCCACGCTGGTTGGCTCGGCTGGGACGCCAATATTGGCCCCACCGCGAAGCTCTTCGCAGAGGTCTACAAGGCTGCTGGTTCTCCTCGTGGTGTCCGTGGTATCGTCACCAACGTCAGCAACTACAACGCTCTCCGCATCTCCTCGTGCCCATCTATCACCCAAGGAAACAAGAACTGTGACGAGGAGCGCTACATCAACGCTCTGGCTCCTCTCCTCAAGAACGAGGGTTTCCCTGCTCACTTCATCGTCGACCAGGGCCGCTCCGGAAAGGTGCCCACTAACCAGCAGGAGTGGGGTGACTGGTGCAACGTCTCAGGTGCTGGCTTCGGTACCCGTCCCACCACCAACACTGGCAATGCCCTCATTGATGCTATCGTCTGGGTCAAGCCCGGTGGCGAGGTACGTACTATATCTATGAAAACCCTAACTTGATTTTTGCAACTGCTAACATGTTATTCAGTCTGACGGTACCTCTGACACCAGCGCTGCCCGTTACGATGCCCACTGCGGCAGGAACAGCGCTTTCAAGCCCGCTCCCGAGGCCGGAACCTGGTTCCAGGCTTACTTCGAGATGCTTCTCAAGAACGCTAACCCTGCTCTTGCTTAAGTGTCTGATTCTTTTAGAGAAGCTTGGGTAGATTGTTAGAAGGGAAAAATGTTCTGCCAGTGGTATTCACTGAAGAGTTGGTGGGATTGTAAATATGGCTTTGGAACTAGAATAGGCAACGTTTGATGTTGTAGTTCGTGTAAATATTATACCTTTTGGAGCTAGTATATCTCTGTAAACATGGTGATGTTGAATTAGTTCCAATTGTGCCTCTTCAAATTATGTGTTTTAGAATAAAATAAAACCCCCGATGTCTTCTCTTTGCGTCAATGCGCACTAGTGAGGAAAGATAAAATGCTGGTAATTGAGTGCTGTGAGTGCCGTAAGACAATGCTTCAGGAGATATTGGATGATGGAAGCCACATGTCTTGGCAGGTGTCAGCCACAACTCTGGCCTCAAGAGGGGCGGTGCATGTCCCTCATCACGTCTGACAGTCCGCGCCCCCACTGCTCCCTTTCTTTAGCCCTTCTCTCCTAAAAACCTCTCTTCGTTCGTGTCAATCGCTTTCTTCCGGTGCGCACAGCCGTCCGACACTCGTTTCGTCGCTGCGCGCCTTTTGCGCCGAACAGAAACCTCATGCGTCCCCTGCCCTATCGATAACCTAGCGGAGAGGGCAATGCAACGCCCGAAGCCTTGGACTCTGCAGTTGAGACTGCTCGTATACCTCTTCGCTGCAGTTTCCTGCCTTACACTATGGACATCCTTTACGCCGCGCTTGTTCGCCCGCGCCGAAGTCCTCGGCGCACCTGATACCGACCTTTCTGACGCCCCTATATTACATGCGCTCGCAGGCGATGGCCTTTCGGATATCGGGGAGGCTAGTCATGATGGAGAAGAAAGTGAGGGCTACGAGCCCGAATTTGAATACCTTGATCGAGACTTGATCGGACGACAAGTAGAGGAGATGGACCGACTGGTCAACAATCAGAAGATGGAGAAGGATATTGATCCTGAGAGTACGATACACTTTGTGCTGGAGCGAAGCCAGCTGAGTTTGAGCCGCGTCGATGAAAATTCTGAGAATGCTCTGGAAGTACGAGGAACAGACAACATGTCGCATGGAGACATGGCAGAGGCGCAGGATAGTAAGGGACTGAGCAAACGGCAGTCTAATGGTACTCGTGTATGGCTCACGGCCAACACCTGTAAACAGCCCGTGCCTAATGGCAATGCGACCGAAGCATCCAAAAACCATCCCCAGCTCGTCATGTATGTGTCGACTTCACCTGACAACAAGAGACCTGGACCAAGCAATACTGATAACACAATTACGAATCTTACGACGGGGCTGTTCAATAGCGGGTATGCCAGTTTTGATTTCAACACGACTTCGGACGTATATATTGGCATTTCGGCACCCAAGCTCGAAGAAGATTGGTTTGGGAGCTGGCACTTTGAGCTTGCTGCAAGTACCGACGGTCCCTATCACAACTACAACGCATCGGACCCATTCTTGTACATGATTGATACAGACAGCGAGTCTGCACTGTTCATCACGTACGACCTGGGCGATTCGAACTCGACCGAAGCCGTGAACAAGTGGAAACAGCAGAACCCCTTCTCGATGTACGCTTTCCAGGCGGGCGAGTACACACCAATCACGGGCATGGAGCGGTCGTACTGTGCAATCAAGGAGCAATTCAACGTGAATACCACTCGAAACTTTACAATTGATAGCAGGATTACTACAAAGTTTGGAGTAGACAAGAATGACAATTTCCCAAAGAACCAGTTCCACGTCAGGGGCCTGCAGCGGGCCACGACGTACAATGGTTTCGTGGTTATTGAAGGAAGCCAGGAGCCTGAGTACATTCCCGGTGCGGGTATGACGAGGGGCGGTGGACGAGTCTTCCAGGCCTTTAACTGGACGACCAAAGCAGGTACGAGATCACGACGTATCTACTCATTTCTAAGACCATGCTAACAAAGCAACTCAGACGACTCCTGCCAAGTCCTCTTCGACCTCGAGTTCTGCGACTCAGTCGCCTACGCTGTCCCCTCGAACGCAAGCTTCAAATTCAACGACACGGCCCTCGCCGAAATCTACGACAACCAAGCCCGCGACTACTACGCCAACTTCACCAAATCACTCGCCCAAGTCGCCTGTGACGCCAAACCCGAGTCGCAGTACTCGCTTGCACGCACATGCGAAGATTGCGAGCGCGACTACAAAAACTGGCTGTGCATGGTACTCATCCCGCGCTGCGAAGACTGGACCGCAAAAGACAGCTACCTCCAGCCCCGCAACATCAACGCGCCCTTTGCAAACGGCTCGGTCCCGCTACGCAACGAAGTCGCGCTGCAATTCAACGATACGTACCGTGAGAATGTGGGCTTCACACAGTCTCGCAATCCGCTGATTGACGAGCTGATTAAGCCGGGCCCGTACAAGGAAATGAAGCCGTGTGAGGACATTTGCTTTGATATTGTGCGGAGTTGTCCGGCAAAGCTGGGGTTTGCGTGTCCGAATGGGCGGCAGAGAGAAGTCATGTATGGGAAGATGGATGCGGATCCGAATCGGTTGACGTGCAGTTTCCCCGGTGCGGTGGTGAAGCTGAATGCGAGGGGTGCGGCGGGGATGGTCGGGGTGAGTTGGTTGGGTGTTGCTGTTGGGTTGGTTGCTGCGATGGCTTGGATTTGAGGTGCGTTAGCATGAGCCGAGCATCGAGGTTCAGAATGGATAGTAAGATGCATAGGCATTGGAGAAGATGATCATGCTGGATTGGAGGGGGGGTTTTGGGATAAGCAAAAGTGGAAGCATCGCAAGGGCGTTTTGGAATGTGTTCAAGTTGCAATAACAAGTTTTATTTTTTCTTGTTCGTTTTCACTCGTGTACTGCATGTATTGCAGTGGGTTAGGTTCAGCTACTGTGCCTCACGTGAAATACTCTGCCCCTAACTCTTTGCAAAGCGACATGTAACACAGCGCAGACAATTCCTACATCACTCTAAAAGACAAAAAGCTAGACACCCAAAATCCCTCCAGTCCCCCAGAAAACGCTTTCCCTGAGCGCCAAAAGCCAAGCCACGCCAGAGCCCTTTTTCCCTTCCCCGTCCGAGCTCGAGCCGCTTCCACTCCCCCAAACTTACGCAAATAAAAAAAAAGCCCCGTCGAACGCATGGTAGGAGCGATCCTGTACGCCCTGCGCGCGGGCGATCCACTTGCCGGTGAAAGGGGGGAGGGGGGGTGCATGCACATGAGGGGGGGGGGGGGGGGGAAAGTTGGGGGATTTGACATGTGAAAGTCTGGAGTCAAAAAAAAAGTACATGGCCATGACATTTACTTTACTTTAACCCGAAATGCCCCGTTACCCCACATGTTGCGAACGGCAACTTTTTTTGGGAGTAGGAACAGAGAAAGATGGGACATGGGGGAAGGGGATGGATTTTCCCTTCGCAAGGTTTGCCGGATTGGGTAGAGCGCCTTGTGGTATTATTATTTTTTTATTTCATGGTTATAGGAATGGGGAAGGTGAATGCGGCATGCGCGGTGTTTGGGAAAAGTTAGATGGGAGGGATGGACTAGATTAGGGAGGTTCAAGTGTAAAGGCACATGACGGTGTTGGGAGTAGATGGTGGGTGGTGGACTTGGTTTGTTTGCAGGTGCTAAAAAGTCCATGGATGGGTGATGTTGTCCGATGACGGAGATAAGGTTGGAGGGGTTCCATTGATTGCCGATGGGGCATTCCGCTCGAGGACTGTGGGAATCACAACATACATTAGATGTACATGTATGATGATGGCAGTGGTGGTGAGACGGTGGTGCTACAAGACGGGCAAGCGATGTGAGGTGGGATGAGACGAGATGGTAGGGAGGGCAAGGGCGTGGGAGCTCTTTCCCTCAAGGGCCCGCGGCTCGGGGTGGTGGGCGGAAATGGATGGGGCGCGGGCGAATCAAACGAGGTTCCTGAGGCGCTAGGGCGGTCCCTGCAGAGCCAGAGGGGCCCCTGGTGGCTGCATCCCGATTTTTTGCCTCGACTTGCCCACCACACACGCTTTCTTGGTCGCCATGGCTTTTTGTTTTTTTGCCAGCCATTGCGGGCCTGGGGCGGCACCGCGGTTGGTCCACTGTATGTCCACGTAACGTGGCAGCAGACATTGACACGGCCATGCAATGCCTCTGTGTAGACTACACCTAGAGGAGGTGTGGTGTATGCTGCTGGCCACGAAAAGAAAAGCCTCTTCGCTCCTCGCTTGGCGTCTGCTGCCACTTGCACGCTGCACCCCAGGCGGCACAATGGCGTGCTGTGGCCTATCGACACACCCTCTTATAAGCTTATACGCAAACTGGCGGTCTGCCCGCCGCCGTGCTCTGGCGACTTTGGCCTAGCGAGACGCCAAGGGAGCGGATAGAAGGCATCTGTTGAAAACTCAGGACTTTAGCCCGCGACGTTGGGCCGTGGGCCATCCGGGCTAGAGAATGCGGGCTGCGGCTTTGCGCCGCCTGGTACTCGACGTGTCCAATGCGGTGGCAATAGACTGCTGATTATCATGGCCATTTTCTCCCCGAGTGGACCGTCTTGCACACGCTGTTGTCTGATTGCCCACGCCCAACGGCTTCTCGACATCGCCCCTGGTCTTGTTGGTCTGGGGCTTGACCACCCCCGGTTGCATGCCTACAAATTCATCGACACCGCCTTCACTCCCATTGTTTAAATTCAGCCCCCCTCCCCCTCCCTAACCCCTTCCCCTCTTCTTTCAATCCGTCTCTGTCGGTTGATTCCTGCAGTCGTCGACTCACTTGCCTTTGCTGGTGCTGTTGCTCCAACACCTTGCAGCCTGCATCCCAACAGTTTGTAGCTCTTACTGCTGCAACTCCCTAGGCTTGCTCCTCCCCTCCTCCCCTCACCACCACCATCAATTCTCTCACCCCCACTTCCGACAACACCATGGCCACCACCACCGCCCGTTCTCAGAAGCCCGCCATGAAGAGGAACAAGACGGCCGACTCGACTGCCAACTCCGTCTCGGCCTCGCCTTTTGACTCTCCTGCCGGTTCAGCCTCCAACACCTCGCTGTCCTCGCTGGACGAGCAGCCTCACACCAAGAAGCCCCACGGCAAGCTTCTCGACACCTACGGCAATGAGTTCGAGATCCCCGACTACACCATCAAGCAGCTCCGCGATGCTATTCCCAAGCACTGCTTCGAGCGCTCCGCTGCCCGTAGTCTGGGATACGTTGCCCGCGACTTGACCCTGCTTGCCACCACCTTCTACATCTTCCACAACTACGTCACCCCAGAGACTGTTCCCTCGCTGCCTCTGCGCTCCGTGCTCTGGACTGGATACACCGTCCTCCAGGGTCTGTTCGGTACTGGTCTCTGGGTCCTTGCCCACGAGTGCGGTCACCAGGCCTTCTCGCCTTCCAAGACCCTCAACGACACCGTTGGCTGGATCTGCCACTCGCTCTTGCTTGTTCCCTACTTCTCGTGGAAGATTTCCCACGGCAAGCACCACAAGGCCACCGGCCACATGGAGCGTGACATGGTTTTCGTCCCAAAGACCCGTGAGGTTTATGCCACCCGTGTCGGCAAGCTGGTCCACGAGATCAGCGAGCTTACCGAAGAGACTCCCGTCGCCACTCTCCTCCACTCGATTGGCCAGCAGCTTGCTGGATGGCCTCTGTACCTCTTCACCAACGTTACCGGCCACAACTTCCACGAGCGCCAGATCGAGGGCAAGGGCAAGGGAAAGAAGAACGGCTTCTTCGGCGGTGTCAACCACTTCAACCCCTCCAGCCCCCTGTACGAGAAGCGTGACGAGTACCTGATCCTGCTCAGCGACCTCGGTATCGCCCTCACTGTTTCTGGTCTTGTCTGGATTGGCAACAACTTCGGCTTCAACAACCTTCTTGTCTGGTACCTCCTCCCCTACCTCTGGGTCAACCACTGGCTCGTCATGATCACCTTCTTGCAACACACCGACCCCACTCTGCCCCACTACGACGCCGAGACCTGGACCTACACCCGTGGTGCCGCTGCTACCATCGACCGCGAGTTTGGCTTCATTGGCCGTCACCTTCTCCACGGCATTGTCGAGACCCACGTCCTCCACCACTACATCTCCACCATTCCCTTCTACCACGCCGACGAAGCCACCGAGGCCATCAAGCCCATCATGGGCAGGCACTACCGTTCAGATACCGAGGGTGGCCCAATTGGCTTCATCAAGGCTCTGTGGAAGAGCGCTCGCTGGTGCCAGTGGGTTGAGCCGAGCGTCGGCGCTGAGGGTGAGGGCAAGGGCGTTCTCTTCTTCCGCAACCACAACGGTCTTGGTGTACCACCTCAGAAGATCGACCCACCTTCGGCCACCAAGGGCGCCAAGATGGAGGTTGGCCCTGAGAGCGACAATGAGTAGATAATGAACATGATATATTTTGGCGTGGACTACTTTCTCAGTCTACAGCACGGCGTTCTGGAGTAGCCTTTACAAGGTTGCGCACCTTTTTTTTTTTCTCTTTCGTCATGTCTAGTCATAGACGTTAGACGGCCTACGCAAAGTAGAGAGCCATGTACCGTCCTGTACAGAAAGCGTAAAAGTCAGTAGTTGCCTGCGGCGTAGACCCTTGAAATTAAGCATGATTTGGAACTTGATTGTCTGGTGTGCTTGAATGTGCTTTTGTGATAATGCTGGATGAGAGGGCTGCCTGCCTGGATTTCCCCGCACATCAGGTTATTAGGTGGTACCCGCACTCGTCCGGCGTGAACGTGACTCTCGCGCTTCCACGTGCAGAACTGCATGTCAGCATGTATCGGTGTATCTGTATGGAGCGATGAGTATCTACATTGGGCTATTGGTGCTCACACTGCTGGTATACACCGCCTCGTCCAGACCACCGGAAATCCAGCGACTATGATGGAACTACACAGTCGCAAAGTGCAGCAGCTTCAGATATGCTCAGGGTGGGCAGATCATTAATGGCAACACCCTTTCTTACTCTCTGGTGATGACATGGCATGCACGAGAATTCTGCATAGCTTCATGCAAAACATGGCGAAAATCAAAGTATGTAGCGACGTTGGTAAGGAACAAGATATCATCAGAAATCCTCATCTGCTCCAGCTACCTCGCACGGTGAGTCGTGCTCTAGGACACGTAATAGAGGATAGCCAGGTAAAAGTGCCAAACTTTCCTACAATAAATTGTGCCCATAAAATGAGTTAAAGAAGAAGAAGGGAAGAGGGCGGCCGGCGAGAATTTTGTGGCATGCGCGGGCGGCGCTTTGGCCAATCACGGGCGGATTATTCAAGCGCCAAGGGAAACCCTCCCATCGTGAACGTCAGTTGAAGCTCCGCCGCAACCAGACATCGCCATCGCCCAGAGCCCTCACAATGCTGCGGCAATACATGATCCGGTCGCTGAAGAGGCCTGCCTACCGTGCAGCCCTCAATGGCAGCCGGGCCTTTACTGCCTCTGCCCGCCGCCCAGCAGAAGTTGAGCTCACCATCGGTTCGTGCCACTTCCCATTGCGGGCCCGGACGAATGCTAATCACCTTTGCAGATGGCAAGAAGGTATCAATCGAAGGTACGAAGACGATTCAGACCCCCTCACGTCTCCGCACACGCTTCTAACGCGCTCGAACAGCCGGTGCGGCTCTCATCCAAGCCTGCGAAAAGGCCGGAGTTACAGTCCCGAGATACTGCTACCACGAGAAGTTGATGATTGCTGGAAGTTGTCGTATGTGCTTGGTTGAGGTGGAGCGGGCTCCCAAGCCCGTGGCTTCCTGCGCGTGGCCCGTACAGCCCGGAATGGTGGTCAAGACAGACTCACCTCTTGTCCACAAGGCGCGAGAGGGCGTCATGGAGTTCCTCCTGGCCAACCACCCTCTTGATTGCCCCATTTGCGACCAGGGTGGCGAGTGTGATCTTCAGGACCAGTCCATGAGGTACGGTGCAGACCGCGGTCGCTTCCACGAGATCGAGGGCAAGCGCGCGGTTGAAGACAAGAACGTTGGACCTCTAGTAAAGGTAAAGATATCATCTAATATCAGACTAAATGTGTGCTCACATCCAGTAGACCTCGATGAACAGGTGTATTCACTGCACGCGCTGCGTCCGTTTCTCTAACGATATCGCTGGTGCTCCCGAATTCGGTTCCTTTGGCCGTGGCAACAGCTTGGAAATCGGTACTTACCTTGAAACCGCCCTCGACACCGAATTGTCTGGAAACGTCATTGATCTTTGCCCCGTTGGTGCCCTCACATCCAAGCCCTACGCGTTCAAGGCCCGTCCATGGGAACTCTACAAGACCGAGACGATCGATGTCCTTGACGGCTTAGGCTCAAACATTCGCGTTGATTCTCGTGGTCTCCAGGTCATGAGGGTTATCCCCCGTCTCAATGACGATGTCAACGAGGAGTGGATCAACGACAAGACCCGTTTCGCCTGCGACGCCCTCAGCACCCAGCGTCTCGTAAACCCACTTATCCGCGTCAACGATCAATTCCAACCCGCAAGCTGGGAACAGGCTCTTGTTGAGATTGGCAACGCGTACAAGAAGGTCGCTCCCAAGGGTAACGAGTTCAAGGTTGTAGCTGGTCACCTCGTCGAGACCGAGACATTGGTTGCCATGAAGGATCTCGCCAACAGACTCGGCTCGGACAACTTGGCCCTCGACCAGCCCGGTGGTAGCGAGCCCATTGCTCACGGAATCGACGTCCGGTCAAACTACGCTTTCAACTCCAAGATCTATGGTGTTGAGGAAGCTGATGTCATCCTTCTTATTGGTTCCAACCCTCGATGGGAAGCCGCTGTCCTGAATGCTCGTATCCGCAAGCAGTGGTTGAGGACTGATTTGGAGATTGGTTACGTTGGCGAGGACTTTGAGAGCACTTTCGAGTACGAGAAGCTTGGAAACAACGCCAACGATGTCAAGAGCGCTCTTTCTGGCGAGTTCGGTAAGAAGCTGGCCTCGGCAAAGAAGCCCATGATCATTGTCGGCAGTGGTGTTACTGAGCACGCTGATGCTAAGTCGATCTACGAGCAGGTTGGCTCTTTCGTTGAGAACAACAAGGCTGTCTTCCAGACTGAGGAATGGAACGGCTTCAACATTCTTCAGCGAACTGCCTCCCGCACTGGTGCTTACGAGGTTGGCTTCACTGTTCCCTCGACTGAGGTTGCTCAAACAAAGCCCAAGTTTGTCTGGCTTCTCGGAGCCGACGAGGTCAACGAGGCTGAAATTCCCAAGGACGCCTTTGTTGTTTACCAGGGCCACCACGGTGACCGTGGCGCACAGCTTGCTGATATCGTCCTGCCTGGTGCCGCCTACACGGAGAAGTCCGTCACATACGTCAACACCGAGGGTCGTGTACAAATGACACGCGCCGCTGTTGGCCTTCCAGGTGCCTCAAGGGAAGACTGGAAGATTATCCGAGCAGCATCTGAGTACCTTGGTGCTGAGCTACCATATGATGATGTTGAAGCTCTGCGAGACCGTATGGAGGAGATTTCTCCTGCTCTCAGGAGATACGACCTTGTTGAGCCTGCATCACTCCCTGGCTTAAGCCAGGTACAACTGGTTGAGCAGAACAAGGGCGCCCAAACTACTGGTCAGGCGCTCAAGAACCCGATTGAGAACTTTTTCTTCACAGACGCCATCTCAAGAAAGTAAGTGATGTATTCACGAAAAAAAAATTAGTGTCACAATGCTAACTAATACATAGCTCGCCGACCATGGCCCGTTGCTCAGCCGCCAAGGCCCAGAACAACCCTCAGACCAACTTCATGGCACCCGGTGAGCCATACCCACAGGTCGGATATGGACCTCAGGTATCAGCAGCAGCGAATGTTTAGATGATAGGAATTTTGTATTTACGGGTAACACAGAATAAGGAAGCTCGTTTGTAAATAGCATTGTTGAAAGGTTAGCGTGTGATCTCCAAAGACGTCAGCGTGTATGCAAATCAAACCAGCGCTATCAGTGTTACCCTGGCCAAAGGGACCATGTGCCGGTGTTTTAGTGCGGGTGGCTTAGACGTGCCGTCGGCCAAGACATTTTGGCATGTGTGATCGATGCGCACCTGCCTTTTGACCTTTTCAAGATATCGTCTTCCCCTCCACATCTTCCTATTCTATACAGCTCTTGACGACGGTATTTTGCAGCGGGCTTCCTGTTGTCTTCGTCAGGCCTCGCCGGCCACCCTTAATACATTCGTTGCTGTTGGATGCGTCAGACCGCCAGATTCATAACGATTAGGCGCTAAGGCAAGGACGTTGAGCGGGTAACCACGTGCTTTGCAACTACCTGACCAAAAGCTGCAAGAACCTATTACTTTTCTTTATCGCCATCCCGCAGACTGGTTGCGGAGAAAAAGAGATAGAGAGAGGTTGATTAAGCATTGCCACCAAGCTTCGCCATCAAGCTTTGCCGAGAGATTTTGGTGCGTGCAAGAGCCATACCTACTACGTCAGGGTCCAAGAGGGGACACCACCCACTCACAGCCATGCCGACGCTCGCTATCAACAACTTCAACATTGTGTGCGCCACTTTGGGCGGCTTCATCACACTTTTTGGGCTTGTGAGCTATTTGATGAAGGAGAAGTTTTATCTGAGTGAAGCGTGTAAGTGCATTCATATCAGTTGTATCGTTGCGTGTAATCATTTACTAATTGGGGATGTTACTAGTGATATCACTTGTCGCCGGCGTCATATTCTCCCCCCATGGCACAAATTGGATCAGACCAGAAGACTACGCACTAAATGGCGATCACACGCTCGACACCATCACCCTCTACTTCACCCGCCTGGTGCTGGGCGTCCAGCTCGTTCTCGCAGGCGTACAGCTTCCCTCCAAGTACCTAAAGACCGAATGGAAGAGCTTGTCGCTCCTGCTTGGTCCGGCCATGACGGTCATGTGGCTCGTTACCAGCGCCATTGTTTACGCCTTGGTCCCGCACATCACTTTTCTGCAAGCCCTTGCAGTAGGCGCGTGCGTCACGCCTACGGATCCTGTGCTTTCGAATTCGATTGTTAAAGGAAAATTTGCGGATGCGAATATTCCAAAGGAGCTGCAGAAGATTATTGTAGCGGAATCTGGGGCGAATGATGGGTTGGGGTATCCGTTTTTGTTTTTGCCATTGTATCTTATTCAGCATACCGCACATGGTGGGGCGGGCTCGGATGGGAGTACGAGGGTTGCAATGGGGCTTTGGTTTGGGGAGACGTGGGGGTATACGATTGTGCTGAGTGTGGTGTATGGTGCTGCGGTCGGGTGGGTTGCAAAGGAGTTGCTGCATTGGGCTGAGGAGAGGAAGTATGTGGATCGAGAGAGCTTTTTAGTTTTTGCGATCACTTTGGCGGTAAGTTGTCGGGGAGCCCGATTTTTCCAGGATTGTGGGATTCTAACATGGTATTGCAGCTCTTCATTGTTGGCACGGTAGGAATGATCGGTAGTGACGACGTACTTGCATGCTTCATTGCTGGCAACGTATTCACCTGGGATGACTGGTTCCGTCTCGAAACTATGGACGACTCTTTCCAGCCTACTATCGACATGTTGCTTAACGTTTCTGTCTTCATCTGGCTCGGCGCAGTCTGCCCCTGGGACCTTTTCGCCAACTCCCCTGTCATTTCTCTCTACCGGCTGATTCCTCTGGGAATCCTCGTCTTGCTCCTCCGCCGTTTACCAATCGTCTTCGCACTGCACAAGCAGATTCACCAGATTGAGCAAAGGCGCCAGGCACTCTTTGTCGGTTTCTTCGGCCCCATTGGCGTCAGTGCTATTTTCTACCTCTACGTCAGTATCGAGTTTCTGGATACCATTATCGTAGATGGGAAGGTCAGGGAAGATGCAGCATACTTGGCAGAAGTGATAAAAGTGGTGGTTTGGTTCTTGGTCATCTGCTCAGTCGTAAGTCCCCTTGGAAAAAACTATCGACACAAATCTAACTACTAAACAGGTTGTCCACGGCCTTTCCATCCCAATGGGCAAACTAGGTCTCCAACTTCCCCGCACCCTCAGTACCGCTCTTTCCTTCGCCCGCACCAGCTCCTCCGGTCCCAACGATTCCCAACCTTCCTTCCACGTCCCCAATTACGGCACTACCACTGATGCCGATACCCGTATCCATCGTAGCCCTGGCTTTTCCCGCAGCTTGAGTGGTTCGCTACCTAGCCGTGTAGTCAGGATTGGCAGGAGTTTTATCAGGAGTGGGACGAATACGCCAAACATATCCAGACCACCTAGTACATGTCGACCAGAAAACCGACCCCCGATGCCGCTGAGTGATGTAAATCCTGCAGGTGGTCGACAGGAGGATGGGCAATCTAGTGGTATTTACGTAGGAGAGGGGAGTGCACTTGAGGAACGGGTTATTCCTGGACGTACGATTAGGTTTCATGACGAGCAGGCGGTGGCGGCGGGTGGGAGTAGACGTGAGGGTACAGATGATGAGTGATGAGGGATGGGTTTTGTTGCTTGTATATCAACTACATACCTGCATTTGGATAGAATGGGCGTAAGGCCGTCACATTTTGACAAAGATAATCCCATATATCTAGAAAGGAGAATTCATATATGATCAAACACTCAAACCACACCAACAGCCCCCTTCTCACCCCCTTCCCTCGCCGCAATCTCCTCAACCTTCACCACCTTCCCCTCCCTCACACTCTTCTCCAACTCCCCCCTACTAACCCCACACTTGGCACTATATGTCGCCCGATCCCTCTTACACCCCCGCTCCCACACCATGTTCTCCCCCCAACACCCCACGCCCACCAACTCAACCCCTAGCACACTAACTATCAACCCCGTCGTCGTACCAACCAACCTCACACTATCCAAATGCGCAAGCGGCAGCGTCAAAATCACCACCGCAACCACAGCCCGATACACAAGCCTCACATCTTTACTCAATCGCTGATTTGGAATCTTACGATGCGAATGCGTTTTTGCAATTGCCGCGAGGCAGAACAGTGAGATGGCGAGGCCGCCACAGTAGAACCACTGAAGACCATCGTGGATATGTTCTTCAGAGCGGGGGATAAAAGTTTCGTAAAGAGAGGAGAGAGGGGCGGAGGGGGTGTCGTGGGCGCGGACGAGGATGCCGAGGCTGGAGGCTGAGAGGACGAAGGAGAGGGTGAAGGCGGGGTGGAGGGATAGCCATGCCATTGCTTTTTTTATAGCGACGTTAGTCAGCTTCGTTTTTTTTTTTATCTTTTTTGTAAAGATGGATGAGGGGGGGGGGAGAAAACTAACCGGAGAAAACATGGCGACGTATAGCATGCGAATGCAGATTCCACGAGTCAATCTCAAAGTAAATCCAATTAAACGTAAATGCCTGAATCAAGCCCAGCACTGCTTTACCGAAGAAGGCATTGATACCCATTTGGACGTTGCTTTGGTACAGCAAGCCCAGCACGCAGGATCCAAAGACGAGCGTCACAAACGCGTTTGTACGCTCGATTCTATGCTCGATGTTTGTGCCTGGGAAGAAATCCAGCCGCGCTTTGATACGTGCGGGGAGGTGTTTTGACATGGGACTACCGGGGCGTTGCACGAGTAACATGATGAATTGGCCGAAGAGATCGAAGACGATGGCGACCCAGATTAGGCCTTGTTTTGCGGGCTCGGCGACGTGGATGCTGGAGACCCACAGGGCGAAGGGGATCAAGGAGATGGCGCTGGTGCCGAGCATGCTGCCGCGAATCATGGGGATCAGCCAGGCGTACCAGCAGAGGCTTAGTGTGATGAAGAGGCGGGCGGCGAGGTAGAAGGCTACGAGAGGTGTATACGTGTGTTCGAATGCCGCGGCCATGTTTGTGGTGAAACCGAGTAAGCAGGTTAGGATAAAGAGGACGGCGCAGCGTCGTAGGACGTCGTCGGAGTCGAACCACGAGATTAGCATACCGATGTCTGACCAGATTTTCCAGGCCATGAGGAAGGTGATGGCGAAGCGGAGGAGAGACTCTCCTGTGGGATGCTCGGCTGCGGAGTCACCCGTGATGGCGATGATGCCGACGTAGAAGAGGTCGATGAAGAGTTCGTACGATGCTACTTCCTGGGCTTCTTTGGCGCGCCAGAGGAGGCCTTTGTGGAAGTACTGCCGTACAATTGGGCGTTGGTAGAAGCGCATTGTTTCACCGAGTTTGCGTTCTGCGCGCCAGGTATCCTTATCGAATAGGGAGTTGCTGGGTGAGTCCAAGGAGTCCGAGTCTTCCTTTGTGCGGAGGTGAGCAGAGTATCCGTACTTGGAAAAGTTGGCGTCGAGTTGTACGGCGTGCTCGCTGATCATGTGGAGTTCGGTAGATAAGGCGTCGAGTTCGCGGATGACGCGCTCGAATTCTTGGGCTACTTCTCCATGTTCTTCTTGTAGTTGCTTGTGTCGGTCTTCATGGTGGGCGTGGGTATGGCGAAGTGCTTCAATCTGTGCCGGTGCTGTCAATGTCCCTAGATACACAATCACCGTCTTCGATGTCAGAAACCTACATGTTCAGGAGATCCATGGATGACTAGATCAAAATCATTCTTCTCGTTTGCAGTGCTCAACTTTCGCCTCATGACGTTGGCCTCATCGGGTGAACTCGCAATGTGTACCTTTCTTCCATCTGGTCTCAGAAATTGCCTCAGTCTCTTTCCTGTATGGTGGCCAAGATGCGGATGGTGGTGGTGATGGTGATGGTGAAATCCATGTGCTGTGCTAGAAGTGGTGTCTGCTGGCGTAGTGCCTCCGTCCACAAGTGTATGTGGAGTGTCTGCCATGATTGCATTTACAACAGTCGACAAGGTGAGAGCAACACAACTACATCTACAAAAGTACGGTGTATGGCTACCAGAGATAATATAGTTGAATTAACCCAGTTCACGCAGAGGTCTCCCTCCTGAAGTACAAGAATGGTGGCTTGCTCCTTGCAATGTTTACGCGTATTTGATTGGTTAGGTGTAGTCTCAAGAAGGTGAATAAGCAGGCACTAGGCATAGGTAAGCAGCGGGGCGCAAGAAGTACCCCTTGGCCTTGTCTGCTGGCAAGAATTAAATGGTACACTAAGATTAATGTAATGCGTCCAGTATGCATGTGCAAGTAGGCCCGAGCCGACGATGTGTGCCTCTGTGCAGAAGTTAGATAGGCTTTCTTTTGGTGTTGATCGAACGGGGCTTCGCCAGGAGAGGACATTGCTAAGAATTGTCAGAGCGCTAGAGCAAGAACGCCTCGTCTTGGCAGTTGATCAAAAATTAAGGACTGGAATGGTCCAAGTGCAGTTCGGCAGAGCCCTTTTATTGATCATAAAATACACTATCTGCTCAGAATACAGTGAAGCGTAGTATACTGGCTCAGAGGGGCTGAGTACATGGCTGCCAGCAAGAGCCAAACGTACTTGACGTATTTCATCATTTACCGTTTCTTCGCTTGCCCGGGGCTTGGAGCATTTGCGTTTGCGCTCGTGGTTCCCGCATCTGTTTTGCCAGCCATCCATGAGGCAAGGTCAAAGTTTTGTATCTGCTGGGCGGTGTTGGTGGAGCCGGAGCCCAAGACGCCATTCTTTTGCATTTGCTCAAATTCTTCCTTCATTTCAGGATCCACTGGACGTTCGTCAGTAATTGCATTTACCTCAGTGTTCTGCTTAGGACTTACTATTCTCCATCAGCTTGGGCATGCCAAAGATGAGACCCATGGAAACAATAGCCATGAGAATCATGGGGTTCTTCAAGAAAGACAGTGGTGAGACTATTTGTGTGTTAGCCAACCCGAGTTTTGTATTCCTTCGACGTGCGTATGCGAGACGTACAGCCTTGTCTTTCTTGATAAAAGTACTTGGGTGCCACCGGTCTTGCCTCGATGACAAGCCCATTTCCGCCCTCACCACGGTTCTCGCCCTTGTTGTCCCACTCATTTCCTAGGAAGGTCTGCCAGGCCCTGATAACCTCCTTCTTGTCTCCGCTGCCTTCGACAGCCTCCTCCAGGGTGACATCAATTCTCAATGGCTCAAAAGCATAATCGCGGCAATGTACGGTGGCAAGGTAGCTGCCTACGCTTACGTTGTTGAAATTGAAGGTGTTGGCGCGCGTAAGGTAGGCATCGATGGGCGGGCCCGACGACTGCAGGGTTGCGTGTGTGGTAGAGGTCAGGGTGGAGGGGTTTACGAGGGGCGTGTTGGGAATTTGGAGGAGCAAACGGGCGGCGCTCGTGAGCGTCGCAAAAGACGACAGGGCGGCAAAAGCAGTCTTCATGGCGCCGGGAATTGCAGAGGCCGCAGGGTCGATGATGCAACTTTGGTTGAGCGGACAGTGGCAGCGGATACATGGACATCACGGCTGGGTGCACGGGCCAATACATCTATCTTCGACCACAAAAGTCGCTGTGCTTGTTTCGAACAACGCATACGAACGTTGAAATCTAAAATACTACATATAACGGTTCCAAAATGAACCTCGATCTAGTTCCATGATTAACAATCTCTCGTAAACTCAGAACGCTGTCGCCAACTCTCTCCGTATCTAAATACGCAAATGGGTATAATTGCCAGGACCAGGCTCAAGGCACCCAAGCAGCTGAAGCCCAGCCCATAGCCCAGATTCTCAGCCAGCGGGTTAGCTGTCAAAGGCAAGAAGGTTCCCATCAGGCACCTGGTAACAATGACGCCAGTCAGTGCCGATGCTGAATACATGCCAAACGCATCAACAACGTAGTTGGATAGTGGGATAACGGATAGCAACAAGGTAGCTCCCATCAGTACCACAGACCCAAGAAGCAGTAACACAGGGAGTTTGTACTCTGCAATCCAGCCATATGCGCTTACGGTGAAGGGTAGTACAAGAGCACCGAATATAGAAAGCGGCAGGCGATATTCGGGTTTCCCTTTCTCGCCCTCGGGTCCGCGAAGCCTCACATAAATTCTGTCGAGTGCAAAATTGCAGATCATGACACTGCATAGAGATCCAATGCCTGGTGATCAGTTAGCTGCTGTGCTGTCGGAAACATGAAGCGTTTCTTACTGAAAGAGATAAAGGCAGTCCCGGTCATAGCAAGCTTGAAGTCATATTTGTCCGTTAGGATGACTGGCAGTGACACACTTATGACATAGAAGAAGCTGAAGGCGACCGAAGCAAACAACGAGAGGAGCATGAGGACGCTCGATCTAAAAAGAATTGCAAACGGGCGTGTCAATGAGTGCCAAAGCTTTGCAGACCCTGCATGGGTGATTCTGACTTCTACAGTCGCGTCGGCTCCATCGGCGGATTTTGCTGCTCTTTTCCTCAAAATTGCCAACTTATATGTCTCTCTAAAGTAGACGAGGAAGAGGAACTCGCACAGAATGGCAAGGCCGACAGCAATGACCAATATACGCCGCCATCCCATTGTCTCGGCAATGGCACCAGCGCTAGCAGGTCCAATGGCTCCTCCGATAAGTGGTGCGAGCATGATCAGAGACATGGGTGAGCCACGCTGCTCATTCTCGAAGATGTCGCCAATGATGGCCGGGTTGAGTACATTGGAAGCGACGCAAAGGCCTGTGAGCATCCTCGCGGTGATGAAGACTGTGCTGCTTGGGCTGTAGATTGCTACGATGGTGGCAGCAATGAATCCTATGTTGCAAGCATGGAACACAGGAGACCGTCCGAGTAGTTCGGACAAGGGTGCGATTAACAGAGGTCCAGCGGCTTCCCCGAGCTCCCAAATGGTGACGAGTAGTGCGCTATTGGCTGCACTGCTATGCTTTCCATCCAGGTCTTCAACGATGGTAGGGGCCAAAGGCACAACACCAATGCATGTGAATGTACTACAAGAAGTGGTCAGTTTTCATTGTGCTGCTAGTTATTGGTGCATTTGAAAAATTGAGCCTACACGACAAATGCCATGAACGCAAGCAGCAAGACGTTGCTCCATTTATGGGCCCAAGACCAATTTCTAGGGTCTTCAGGGTCCAGAGGCTCAAACTCGAGCTCATCGTTTCCATATTGGTCACCCTCTTGCTGGGTGCTTTCATAATCATGCGAAATGATTCTGAGCAGAGGCTGCTCTTCGTCGGTGAGCACCATGGCGGTTAGATTCACCCACAAGCTTTGGCGACAATGTAGAGACGTAGGACTCGAAGTTCAACATATTTTTTCAGCGGCTCACTTGTCACCTGCCGAGCCAAGCGGCAAGTCCTGACTAATTGCATTGCGAGACATGGTTAGGGTATTGGGTGATCGTTAGCGCCATCCGGCCATTCTGGACGGGAAAGTGAGCGTCTGTTGGGGTCTGGAAGTGGGTCAGACAGGGAGCTTCGGTGCTGATTCTTGATCGATGCCGAGGAGGATTTGGCGCTGGGGAGAAATAAGCCATGCATATTAGGTATGGATTGTATGCACAGTCTTTGGTGGGCATTGCGGATAAAGAAGATGCGGCGGGGACGCTTGCTCAAAGCGCGCTAACCATGTCCACTTTACGCGGTCGCGACTACCAGACTGGCGCGTTGTATCTGGAACAGCAACCCGCATTCCGCTACAACAATGTCTTCAGTCCAGCGATTGCGTGCTCGCCAGGCTCGTATGTACCCTCTGATGCCGTTACAACATTGCCTCCTCTAACCTAGTTCCTAGATGCCCCTGGTGCAACTTACCTTGCCTACACTCCCAACGGCAAGAAACTCATCACTACTGGAGTCGACAACTACTGCCGTGTATTCACCACGGGATCTGACGATGAGCCCGTTACTATAGACGAATGCCAGGAGAACAATACGGCCGTAGTCGCTGGCGTACGTGAGCCGGTGAACTGCAATTCGGGGCACGGTGCTAATACTCAGCGTAGAATGGCTTCTTTATCACCGGTTCCGAGGACGGCACAGTGAGCAGATTCTCCCTCGACAGCGGGAAATTTGAAGAGATACTCTTCCGGACCACCCTGCCCGTACGAGACGTAGCAATTAGTTCGGACGGCAACTGGATTGCTGTTGCAAGCGAGTACGTCAATTAGCCTCTGGTCGCTAGAATGCATTACTAACACGGACAGTGAGCTTGTTGTGAATGTCGTAAGCGTAAAGAACAAGTCTATGCGAACCCTACGCGACCAGTCTCGAGCCGTGAAACATGTCTCTTTCGACAAGACCGGAACCCAACTCGCTGTATCCTGCACCGACGGTCAAGTCTACATGTATAACTTGGATGGAGATGAGCCTGAGATGGTCAAGAGGATAGAAGGCATGATCAAGAGCCTGGAAACAGAGTCAGAGTCCAGTTCAAGGGTGCTGTGGCATCCTGATGGACGAGCATTTGCTACACCTACTGCCATGCGCCAGATGCAAGTCATGTCGACAAATGACTGGGAGAGACAGCGGGTGTTCAAGACAGGCCACTCTGCAGATATCACAGCTGCAGCATGGTCACCCAATGGTGCTCTGTTAGTAACCACATCGAGTGATCTCAGTCTCTGCCTATGGGATACCAAGACTCAACAGCTACTCCACAAGTTTGACCATCTCAAGGCGACCATTCTGGCAATGGCATGGCACCCTACGGAAAACATACTCTCCTACACCAACAACGAAGGCGAGCTCTTCATCCACACAGACATCGTCCCTGAGGAGCACCTCCCCTTACTCCAGAAGCCTACCGTCTCGGCACCCTTTTTCCACGATCCATCAGAAGGCCGAGCCGGTGTCCCTCAACCAGCTAAGCTTACCGCAGGAAATGTTCACACTCTCCCAGGACGACCTCGACCAAGAAGCGGGACACCAGACTCCCTGGAGGACATCCTAGGCCCCGAGTTCCAGGATGACGAAGCACAAGAAGATGGCGATGAGGAAATGAACGACTTTGTCATTGATGATGATGGCGCAGGCTATGCACCTGCCGCCATCCATGCGGCAAAGAAGCGTTCGAATGGACATCTCGCAAATGGCGTAGAACCCGCATCAAAACGACGCGCATATAGCTCCGCTCTTTTCCGTCCCCAAGTCCATGAGCCCTTCCAACCGGGTAGCACACCATGGCGCGGTAACCGCCGGTTACTATGCTGTTCGTTGACCGGATACGTAGAGACGGTCGAGCAAGAAGGCAATCACCATACAGTCACCGTGAAATTCTACGACGAGCATACCTTTCGCAATTTCCACTTCACTGACATTTTCCTCTACGACAAAGCCTGTCTCAATGAGAAAGGGACACTATTCGCCTGCCAACCGAATAGCACTGGAGAGGGAAATCAAGCTATGATCTACTACCGACCGCACGAGATGTGGACAACAAGAACGGAGTGGCGGACCAACCTGCCAACAGGAGAGTCTGTGACAGCAATTGCCTTGTCTGACTCTTACGTGTGCGTCACAACTTCTACAAACTACGTGCGCATATACTCTCTTTTCGGCCTACCCATCCGCGTATACCGTCAAAAGAGCTCTCCCGCAGTGACATGTGCAGCCTGGCGCGACTACATTCTCACCATTGGCAACGGACCCATCCAAAACGACCTCAGCACACAGCTCCTCTACACGATTGAAAACATCAAGCACGACATCGTGTATCAAGATTCTGATATCCTTGCCCTACCTCCAGGCACCACACTGACTTCTGTCTTCTTCTCGGCAGAAGGCGACCCATACATTTACGATTCCGACGGCGTCCTCTTAACACTGCTTGGCTGGAGAAACACAGGACAAGCCCGCTGGGTCCCCATGCTCGACACGAAGCTCCTCTCGCGTCGCGCCGGCGGCGGAAAAGAAGAATCATACTGGCCCGTTGGCGTTGCGTCCTCACCGTCGGCAGACAATAGCACCAACGGCAAGTTCCACTGCATGATTATCAAGGGCAGAGAACAATATCCCAGCGCACCGATCCCGCACCTGTCCGAGTTTGGCTTTGAGATTCCGCTGTCGAGTGCAATTGATAAGAGCAAGAAGGCCAAGGGTCGAAAGGGTGGTGCGATGTCTGATGACGAGGAAGATGACGAAGAAGATGAAACGACGAAGCCGCAGACGAATGAAGATAAGCAGCAGGAGCATGAACAGGCGTTTATTCTCTCGTCGACATTGCACTCGCAGCTTTCGTCGACACTGTTGCATACTCGGCCCACGTCTTCGCAAAAGGCGGCGCTGAGTGCGCTCGAGGTAGCGATTGATCGTGCCTTGCTCCAGTTACTCGGCTTGGAGTGTCTGGCAGGTGAGGACCATGGTATGAAGGCTCTGGAAATAGTAAGCCTGATGCGCGATGCCAATGGCAAAATGTTGGATCTGGCAGGCAAGGTTGCTTCACGCTACGGTCGCGAGGTGCTGGGCGACAAGATTCGGGAGTTGGCTGAGAAAAAGGCACTGGCTAGGGACGATGACGAAGATGATCTATAGTTAGACTATGCCAATTACATAGATTCACGTTTGTTGCATAAAGTAATTCACGAGTCAAAAGAACATCACAACATGGTCAGCACTGAAAACGAATGTTGCAAGACAATGCCATTTGACAATTTATTGGCCATTACTAAAAAGGTGGTAGTGGTAACATAGAAAGAGGGCAATTAAACCCAAATCGCTTGATGTCTGAAGAGTGCACGCTAGCAGCTCCCCTCAAAAGTCGACTGCTTGTCAAAGTCAAAACGGTATATGCTCTCTCTTGCCAGAGAATTAGAAAACAATACGCGCGAATGGCAAGCGAAGAGCATGCCAATCAACTATGCACAGCCGAACTGCTCTTGGCTACAAGCTCGAGCAATGCAACAAGACATCTAGTACTCTGCCTCGCCACCCTCCTCGTCGTCGCCAAGGCTGTCGGCAGCAACCTCCTCGTAATCGCGCTCAAGAGCAGCGAGATCCTCACGGGCCTCGGAGAATTCACCCTCCTCCATACCCTCACCAACGTACCAGTGGACGAAAGCACGCTTGCTGTACATGAGATCGAACTTGTGCGAGAGAGCAGACCAGGCCTCGCTAATGGCCGTGGTGTTGGACAACATGCAGACGGCGCGGTTGACCGAGGCGAGGTCGCCGTTAGGAACGTTCTGAGGTGGCTGGTAGCAGATACCGACCTTGAAACCAGTAGGGCACCAGTCAACGAACTGAACAGTGCGCTTGGTCTTGACCTGGGCAATGGCAGCGTGTGTGTCCTTGGGGACAACGTCACCACGGTAGAGCAGGCAGGTAGCCATGTACTTTCCGTTGCGAGGATCGCACTTGACCATCTGGTTGTTTGGCTCGAAGCAAGCGTTGGTGATCTCGTTGACCGAGTTGGCCTCGTGTGCGGCCTTTGCGGCGGAGATGACGGGAGAGTAGGCGACGAGAGGGAAGTGGATACGGGGGTATGGGACCAAGTTGGTCTGGAACTCGTTCAGGTCGACGTTGAGGGAGCCGTCGAATCGGAGCGAGGCAGTGATTGAGGAGACGACTGGAATTGAATTAGTCAGGAACCGGATGTAAGGAGAATATTCAAGTGAGCAACATACCCTGAGCAATCAGACGGTTCAGGTTCTCGTAGTTGGGGCGCTCGATACCGAGATTCCTTCGGCAAATGTCGTAAATGGCCTCGTTGTCGACCATGAAGCTGCAGTCGGAGTGCTCGAGGGTGGTGTGGGTGGTGAGAATGGAGTTGTATGGCTCAACAACGGATGTGGCGACCTGGGGCGCTGGGTAGACGCAGAACTCGAGCTTGCACTTCTTGCCATAGTCGACCGACAGACGCTCCATGAGCAGGGCGCCGAAACCCGAACCGGTACCGCCACCGAAGGAGTGGAAGACGAGGAAACCTTGCAGACCCGAGCAGTTGTCGGCAACGCGGCGGACCTTGTCGAGGACCTGGTCAATGAGCTCCTTTCCGACTGTGTAGTGGCCACGAGCGTAGTTGTTTGAGGCATCCTCCTTGCCGGTGATCATCTGCTCGGGGTGGAAGAGGGAGCGGTAGGCACCGGTGCGGACCTCGTCGACGACATTGGGCTCAAGATCGGCGTAGATGGTACGGGGGACGTACTTGCCCTGGCCTGCGCAGTGAGAGTTAGTTGTGCATCCCGACGCGTGCGCAAGGGCGGCTGCCTACCAGTCTCGGAGAAGAAAGTGCTGAAGCCATGGTCGTCGTTGACAGCCTTGCGCTCCTCGGTGAGGTAGCCGTCGGGCTGGATGCCGTGCTCGAGGCAGTAGAGCTGGCAAAGGTGGTCAGCATCAGTGCAGACTGGCGGTCAGGCACAAGGCATCCGGCGCCCTCCTTTTTTCGCTACTCGAAGCGGATTCGAGGGCGCGGCGCAGCGGATTGTCGAGTACTCACCTCCCAGCAAGAGTTTGCAATTTGGCAACCGGCTTGGCCGACTAGACGCGTACAAAGTCAGCATCAACAAAGAGGCGGACCTGTCCCACCAGTCGGGGGGCGGCCAGGGTGTGGGCAAGGATAGGCGGCTACGTACCGTTGAGACTGATGACTTCTCTCATGGCTGAATTTGAGGCGGAATAGTAATTGGGGGGGATATATGGAAATGCTCGGTCAGGGGTGGCGTCCGCGAGAAAGTCGAGGAGCAGCTGGTGGTGGAGTGGAGCAGTGGGTGGGGGGGAGAAGCAGTTGTTGTGTTTGCGGAATCGAACTTTTAGGGTGCAGAGGGCCCGGCCTACCACGGGCCACGGCGCTAACCGCTGCACTGCATACTCGACATACACATCTATGCACATGTTGGCATGCTTTCACACCTCCCATTGCACCTGCCGGCCTCTCCATGGCCAGTTTCTTCTTCCTCTTCTTGTCCTCCATCACCACAACACCAGCATCAACACCACCAGCAATGCACATGCAATTGTCCCGGCCATCCCCCACGTGAGAGAATGCGCCATCTCCATCCCGCCCTCCCCCAGAGTCCCTGTCCTGCCGTCCAAAGATGCGCCTCGTCGCCCGCCTGCTGCTCTGCACCGTCACACTGGCCTGGACGGTGAACGCAAACGTTGAGAAGACAATATTCCTCGGCCCCCGCGCTGCAGCCCTCTCCAATGCTCTCCCCGGCATAGACACGCTCGCTTCAAGCGCCCTGTCGCCCGCCAGTTCCATTCTGCCCACCCGCATTCCCATCGAGTTTCCGACCGAGTCAGCGCCACGCGGTCTCGAGTCCTGGTACCTTGTCCGCCGCCTCGACCACGGACGCAGGTACGAAGTCCGCGTTTGCTGGCCAGCAACAGTGAGCCCAATTCCACTTCCCCCACCTCGACGGGCCAGTCCTGACCATACCCCAGCAACCAGCCGACTTCTGGCTTGATACCTACACCCTCGCCCACGTGCTCGATACACCCGACCTCAAGGCGTCACTCGTCCACTACAGTCAACAGAATCAACTCGACGGCCACAAAGATACTGGCGCGGCAGACTTCGATGTTCACGAATCGGCTCTGCTGCTACGTCTCCAGGCTGCAGCCTCCTACTATTCGACTAATCGCACACTGATGCTCCATCCGCCTCCGGTAGACGTGGATATCAGTACGTTGCCATTCAATGCTTACACATCATCTGGTCTGACTCTTGTAGTTCTCGATCCCTTCCTACTGAACGTCTTCCCTCAGTCACTCGTCCCTGCCGCTATATACATCACTTTGGTCGCCGTGTTTGCCTACCTCCTTTCTGGCTACATATACCGTTGGCTACTCTCTGTCGCCGCTGAGCAGCCCAGTAAACCGCATACCGATTGAACAAACACTTGTGTGCGCCCAGTCGCATATCTCTCCCAAGGTCGTAGCTTGACTCTAGCCATAGTCCCTGCGCTGGCTGCTTCTGTACTCGACTCCTATAGGCCAACACGTGAGCATGTCCGCGACCGCTGGAGCTCCTCCGCCGCCCCCGCCGCCGGGGCCATTTACGAATGGTAATCCTTTCGATGACCTCCCTGCAGAACTACTTCTGATTATCTACGAATATGTGGGAAACAGCAATCTGATCAATCTTGCCTTGGCTATCTATCCTACCTTTCAGCGCCACAACCTCTCACCAAAACTTACCCCAACCACTCTCGCCCACATGCTAAGCCTGTCACATAGACCTCCAATGTATCCAGGAATAGTCTATATGCCTGCAGAGCTCTGGCTGTGCGTTGCTCGCTATCTTGAGCCTGCTGATATCTTGTCCATGATGTTTACTTTCGGAGCCGTTTTTGGCCAGCCGCTCACTCCAAGTACGAGAGATAGGTTGAGAGTTTGGAGTCGGCGATTGAGGGAAAAGGGATGATTATGTATTTGTGGAACTGCATAGTATCACAGCCTATGTCTATCCATAAACTCTTACGAAATGAATGACATGAATGAAATATCATATGTTACTACAAAAATACCCATAATCTCCGTTGCCTTGTCACATGAAAAAAAATGCGTCGTAAATCAAACGCCACGCTATGCATACAAACCCCTCCAGCGCCCGTTAAATGCCCTCAAACTTTTTTCCCCACTCTCACGCATCCCTTGGAAACTCATCCTCCAGCCCAATCGTAACCTTGACATTCATACTGCCCAGTTCCTGGATCAAAAGCTTGGCAGCGTACGGCATGGTAATCTTACGAACCGCTTTTTCGCTCTCGCAGAGTTTGCAGTATCCGCTGTATCCCATTTGGCCGCCTGCGACATACATTAGCTTTGCTTTCGGGAAGAAAGAAGAGTGGAGAGGAAAAGGGGGAAAAGGACATACACTTCTCACAAACATCCACATTGTGCGCATCAGAACTAATCATCAAGCGCTCGAGCAAGAGCTGCGACGCACCATACGCAATCAAACAATCACGTTCCATTTCTCCCAGACGCAAACCACCGTCTCTTGCACGACCTTCCGTCGGCTGGCGGGTGAGGATAGCACGGGGACCACGGGCACGCGAGTGCATTTTATCCTGGACCATGTGCTTGAGTTTCTGGTAGTAAATGGGGCCGAAGAAGGTGTAGAATTGGTGGGCTTCGCCCGTGATGCCAGAGGTAAGGTAGTCTTTTCCGGTGTAGGAGAAGCCTTTTTCTACGAGAATCTGCGACATGTCTTCGACGGTGGAGCCGCCAAAGGCAGTGCCGTATTCGAGGGTGCCGTTGAGGACGCCAGCTTTGCCGGAGAGGAGTTCCATCATTTTGCCGACTGTCATACGCGAGGGGAAACCGTGCGGGTTCATGATGATGTCGGGGCAGATGCCTTGGTCGTTGAAGGGCATGTCTTCTTGCTGGACAATCAGACCCGTAGTACCTTTTTGACCGTGGCGAGATGAGAATTTGTCGCCGAGTTCTGGACGACGGGTTTGGCGCAGGAGTAGTTTGATCAGCGTTGTGCCTGATTCGTTTTCTGTGATGCAGGCTTTGTCGATGTAGCTGCAGTCGGGCAACTTGTACCTTTCTGGCTTGTCTTTGTACAAATTCGACGCTGGACCCGCGGTATCTTGAGGTATCGATTTCAACAGGAAGGCATCGCCGGCCTCGAGGCGAGCGCCGACTTGAGCAATACCATCTTGACCAATCGCCTGGTGGTTGGGATTTGCGACATCAAGGGCGCCGGCGTTGATGCGATCGGAAGTGTTGTTGGCGTACGTTTTAAGAGGCGTGACGTGCTTCTTAAATACTTGACAACGACCAAATCCTCGATCGCATGACGCCTTATTGAGAATGAGAGCATCTTCGATATCGTAACCCGAGTATGACATGACAGCGACGGTTGCATTCTGACCTGCCGGAAGCTTGTCGTACTTTGTGAGTTCAATGGTTCGCGTCTTGACCATGGGTTGTTGCGGGTAGACCATCAGGTATAGCAGTGTGTCTATCCTGTTGAACTGGTTGTATGCTATGGCGCCAATTGCTTGCTTACCCATAGCACATTGATAGGTGTTACGAGGCGACTGGTTGTGATGAGGATAAGGAATGAGACCAGCGACAGCGCCCAAAATTGTGAAGGGCTCGATCTCCAGGTGTGTCGTGTGTTGATTGATCTCACTCTCCTTGAGGGCAATGTTGGTATCGTTCTCTTCGTTGGTGTCAAGATACTCCACGAGACCTCTTGTCAGGAAATCCTCAAACTCCATGGTACCCTTGCGAAGCGCTTTCAAGTACCGCGAAGTAACTTTTGAGTGTTGATTCTCAACAATAATCATTGGCCTACAAATTCGCCCTTCGTCAGTAGCGATGTGGACTTCGCAGTGGTCATGGTCGATATGGATGCTAGTGAACTCGGAAATACGTCCCATTCGTCGGAGTTTCCGGAAGCTGTTGAGGAATCGCTTTGGAGTGTCTGTGACAGCAATGGGCGTACCATTGAGACAGACACTATAAACACCCTCAGCATGGATCTCTTCTCCTGTTTGTGAACAAATGTCCTCAGCACCCAACATGAACACAATCTTGCGAACTGGGTCATCATCATCTTCGGTCGTAATGTGCGTCATGAGTGCCAGGTTCTTGACTAGACCACAAGCCTCTCCTTCTGGTGTATCAGAAGTACAAAGCATACCAAATTGCGAGGGCTGAAGTGCACGAGGACCAGAGACCTTACGAGTTTTCTCAAACTGCGAACTGATTCTCGTCATCATACCCAGTGCTGCAATATAACTAAGTCTACTCAAGACGTGCGTGACTCCGGCCCGCTCCATCTTGAATCGCTTCAAACTCCAATTTCCGGTAGCAATTGCGCGCTCGACACCCATGGTAATGTGGTTCTTGTGAACGCTGAAGTGGGAAAAGGCATCAAACTCCTGCGCCCTTACTTGCTTCTTGAGAACCTTGTCGATGCTGAGCTTGAAATCGTGGTTAAAGCGCTTGAAGTGATCTTCAAACAAGAGGGACAACATCTGCCCAGACAGCTCAAGACGTTTGTTGCCAACATAGTCACGATCGTCTACTAGCTTCGGGTCTTGCATCGCCATCAGAACTCTCCGAGCCATGAGAGCTACGTATAGTGCCTTGGGTCGGTAATTCGTGCCCTCGACCGGGACGTGGGGAAGGACAACGTTTGATAGACATTCAATTGCCTCAAGGTGGTAGTTCCTGTTGCGCGAGGTACCAAGCGGCTTCTTGACTAGTCGTACGCGGTGGCCAATGTATTCCAGCGCTCTTTCTTGTGTATGAATCTGCTCCCTCGCGCACGCCTCGAAATTGATGGCAAAATTGTCCTGGTATGCACTATCTTCTCCGGCAATCATAAGGAGAATCTCTTTATCGGAATGAACTCCTAGTGCCTTCATGACAAACACGATTGGAATCTCTTCAGAAAGAGTGTTGTGTCGAAGGTACATGAGTCCTTTCTTTTGGATAACATACGTCTTCGTCCGCCTCTCGTGGGTGGAACTCGTAACGCTGGCTTGCATAATTCCTTTTGCGCTTTCGACAATGACTCGATTCTTGTTCAGCTGCTCCTGAACAAGGATAACCTTCTCTTGTCCACGTGTGATAAAATAGCCTCCTGGATCTAGCGGACACTCCTCCATGACAGCCATTTCGCGATCGTTCTTTCCAGCAAGTACACATTTGTTACTCTTCAGCATGATAGGCATCCTACCAATCTTGATTCCCGTCCGCTTGACCTTGGCGTTTCCCCTAGTGTATATGATATCCACTACTATCGGCGCAGCATATGTCATGTCACGTAACCGGCACTCGTTGGGTGTAATGGTACTGCGATGATGCTCGAGGTCATCTTCTTCCTGTCGGTTCGGCGATAGTACGCGGATATCCGTGTATTCGAGGAGAAATTTAGGGTCGAAGTCGCTACGGACGAAACGATTGGCTTTGATAATCTTCTTCAAGTCGACATCGACAAAGTGGTTGTAAGAGTCAACGTGCTGTTTCACGAGACCCTTAGTCTTCAAGAAGGCTGGCAGTAGATTCCATTTGTCGCGCGCGGTGTTGATCGGGTCGGTCAGACTCTTGCCATAGTAGAAAGGTTCGAGAAGGGCGGCAAACTCGTCTTTTGCGTGGGTGAGTGGCGCTCGTCGCTTTCGCGTTTGATCTGCTGACGTAGAAGCCCCAGGATTGAGATCTGCCGCGCTACTTCCAGCACTCGCTTGAGGATTGGCGCCCTCAGAATCAATCTCCATAGAATCGCCGCCGTCGACCTTTTGGACTTCGGGTGCGCCAGGCGCACCCTTCGCCTTTGTCGCCCCGCGCGGGGCAGCTTTGGGCTTGGGGGGCGCAACTTCCTTTGCACATGTTAGTTATATACGAGCATTTGTGCGCCAGTGTTTGTACCTTTTTGCCCACCATATTTGCGACAGTAGAGCAGGGGAGCGGAAGTTGGAGGAGGGTTGGTGAGTTTGTTAGAGCTGCTGCAACAATTTGGCGTTCGGCGAGTCAGACATGCAGGTGGAGAATCAATCTTGACCAATCGGTAATCCGCAGTAGATTCATCTAGCCGGACTATGTGAGTGACCGCATATGCACCATCACCACCACAAGGGCGACATTTACTGCACAAGAAGGATCATAAGACACATGATTGTTGAGAAATATTCTCATCATTCTAACACAAGATCTTAGGAGCACACGCTACATCATCTCAGTCAACGATTACATATACTTTGTCACCAACCAGCAACTAGAGATGCATGCGTAGATCATATCCCTAGATAACCATGGTTCTGCCATATCGTACAAGCCATTCAATCCTGTCCAACTTCGTGTAGCTGCAGATCATCTCATGCATTCCCCATTCATAGTTGCTCAAGCACACCTCAGCCTTTCCCAGCTTCTGTCAAGCATTACTGATATCTTCCCAAACCTCAGGTTTTGGACAGAGTTCCACCTAGAAGGCGTCGCGCACATCTGCTTCACCATTCAGACCCCTCAGCGAGCTTTCAGCCAAGTCCACCTTCAACTGAGCTGTCTCAGCTTCACGTTCAAGACCGTCCCACTCCCTCAGCTTCTGCCTCTTTGCATCCTCCTTCTTATCAATCAATTCCCTAAGCTTCTGTGCCTCTGCCTCTAGTTTCAGAATCTTACTCTTGTCATACATCTCAGGGGCTTTTTGGCCTCCAGGAATCTCTTTTGGTAGATCGGCTAGATGGTCGCGGAAACGCATTGTACGTGGATACGTTGTAGCGGTAGAGTTGTTTGAGCCGCGGAAAGAGGGTGCAAAAGGCGCTGCTCCACCGGGACCGCTGCTGCTACCACGAGGACCGGATGGTGCGCCGCCATAGTAGCCTCCTCCCCGAGGTCCTGCGCCCCATGACCCTCTGCGTGAAGAGGATCCAGAGAAATCTCCTCGCCCTTCGTACCCACCAAAACCGCGACCTCCACCGCGTGGCCGTGTTGGAGCCGTTAAAACGGGGTTACTTCCTCGAGGAAATGTGGGAGGTAGCGCTGTCGAGTTTGATGGACCTGCTGGTGGGGATATGGCAGGCGAGGGATAGCTGCGACTGGAAGGGCCAGTTGGGGGCGCTCGAGCAAAGTTGCCTTCACCATTGCGATACGATGAAGAAGGACCTGTTGGAGGCGCAAAGTCTCGGTCCCCACGCGGCCCAGTCGGAGGGCTCTCTCTACGACGTGGAGGGGATCGTTCTCGCTCACGACTAAAGTCTCGGCCTCTTTCGGGAAGCCGCTCTCGAAAAGGTGATCTTGGTGCTGAAGCAGGTTCTCTGACAGGGAGGTCCTCCACGAGTGCGGCCCGGCTAGGATGGATAGGTGGCGGGGAAGAGCGGCGCGAGGTAGCGGCAGAGTCTCTGCCTGATGGCTCATTTGAAGTGTAGGTTGGCCGCGCTGGAGAAGGCGACCTACGACTCCTCCAAGTATCGGCAGTATACGGGTCGGGGCGTTCGCGTCTCAACGAAGGTGACCTGCGCCTATAGTCTCGTGGCGGAGAGTATCGTCGTGGGGGAGGGCTTCAAATTGGTAAGCAAATCGTTCTCGTAAGCAAGGGGCTCTAAACGTACCTATTCACCCGGGAACGTGGTTCTTCGTATCGGCTTGAGCGAATAGGCGAGCGCATCCCCCGGCTCCTTGCTGGAGACACATCACGTTCTCTCAGAAGTAGTGGCGACCTTTCGCGTGGCCGTGGAGAACGAGCGTACGAATCGTATTGATCCCGGTCCCGTCGCGGTGATCTTGGCCTGTCGTTTCTGTAGTCATCACGTCTGGGTGAAAATGCTCGACGGGGAGGTGAGCGAGGGCGTGCCCTCCAGTTGTCGTCGCGACGTGGACTTCGTGACCTTCTTCGGAACGCAGGCGAGCGGCTTCGCGGACGGGAGGAGCGGCCCCCAGGGACGTAGGTATCAGCGGAGGCTATACCGCGACGAGGTGGAGAGCTACGGCGAGGCGGACTTGCTCGACGGAAGGGAGGTGAGCGAGCACGATAGCTGTCTCCGCGCGGAGAGCGTGGGCGTGGCCCGGGGGAACGTGGACGGTATGTGTTTGAATACCTATCGTCTCTTAACTCCACGTTAGCAGTGGCGCTTCCAATCATTTTCAAAGACCGAACAAGTCCATATGCCGTCCATCAGTGTACAAGCGATAGCCTGGTGTTGACAAACCTTCTGTCTCCTCGATCACGATCTCGCTCGCGATCCCTGTCCATTTCGGAACCAAAAGTAATGCGCTTGACCTATCGTAAATAGTAGAAATGGCCGAATACACTGAAAAGAATGGGTATGAGTCTGCAACTGATAGTCGCGGTGGTGGAGCGGTGGGGAGTGTTTGGCGTCCTGTGTGTTGGGTCTGCAAAAAGTGAAGTTCAAAGCCAAGCCCACTGCAACTGAACGCGTTGGCCGGTCACGTGCCTTGGGCTGAATTGTGGCTTATAGCGTGTCAAGCTCTGGCCTTCGCATCGACAATGGATGGCTGCCTGCAAGTTTCAGCTCTTCTTTCCTTTTCTTCTCTTCCTTAGGACATGCAATCAAGTGGACGAGAGTGATGGTCGTGTGTGGCGTGTACGTGTGCGATAATTGCCACCCTACCATTCTTCCAAACGTGAAGGTGTATCACTTGATCTTCGAGAAATTTGTTGACTCAACTGCCGTTTGGCACATCTCAACATTTCAAGCATTCTCATGTTGAGTCTGGCAGGAGTTGTCAACTCACAACTATTGGCTGCTTTGTTCCGCCCCCTTGCCTTGCTGTTCGCGTCTTCGGTGCGTCAATCGTGGCGTAGCGGAAGTTCGTATCCATAGTCACCGTGTCATCCCTGTCCATTGCTGTGCCTCGAATATTGAAAATCTTCATCTTGATTATACTCATCTGTGGGCACACTTGATTGCCACATATAACGCCGTTTCCCAATGCTGAGTATGCCGAAGCCCTATTGACCCGTGACATCCGTGACGCCAGCTCGCTCTTGGAGCCCCTGAAAGTGCAATCCTGGATCTTTTATACAAAATTCATGTCCCCATTGGACTCTTGACAGTGCAGGCCTAGCGCCTAGTCTTTCGCTCATCCTCCCTCTTGGTCCTCTTCCTGCTTTCCTGGTTGATCATATCGGCGAGATCGTCTTGGTCGATACTCTGCCATTGTCCCTGTGCCTCAGCCCGCTGCCTAGACTCATACTCTTTCTTTAGTGCGTCCTTGTCCAGCTTGTCGCTGTCCGCCAACTGGTCAATATCAACAGATACATCGATGTCTCCAGCTTTGCGTTTCTTCTGAGCGTGTCCAAGCGCATCGCGCCTAGCCGCATCCAGATCATAAGCATGCTCACCACCAAAGAAGCCAGTCGCAGATATGTTCTTCTCTGGAAGCACAGTGTATGCACTTCGCGGCGCACCTGGCTCTTCCGTCTCGATCCCCTTGCGCTGTTTCCTGAGCTGAAATTCTCCACTAATGCTTTCTGCGCCCCCAATCTCAGATGGCATAGCCGAGGCACTAGTCATGGATGTTTGTATGCCGCTTGCATCCTCGTCTCCTTCATCTTCGTCCTCATCTTCATCGTCTTCTTCCTCTTCACTTTCTTCGTCCTCACTCTCACCCTCAGCTCGAAGTGTTCCCCAAATACCGCGCTCAACGGGTTCGCCCACATGTGTCGGTTGCTGTTGTTCCTCCAAAATAGCAGTGCCGTACAGGTCTCCTCCGAAAAGTGGCTTACCGGCTTCATCTGTGGGGGGCTTTCCCCATTGACCAGGCTGGAAACCCCAAGAGGAGCCTGGAGGGATCGGGGCATTGACACCGGGTACGCGCATGTTGGGATACGATGGCGGGGGGCCGTAACGTTGCATGTTGATGAGCCAAGGAGGCGGGTGACCAGGTGCCATTCCAAGTGCCTCGCGAAGTTCTTCGCTCAACTCGCCTGGCTTGAGGTTTACAAGGTTGGTTTCGAATTCCTTGCCTTCGTAGTAGACCTCGCCGTATCGGGTCAGCTCTGGCTTGGTCTGTCGTCTGAAGAAGGCATCATAGAGCTTCGCATAGTCAATGTCAAGCTTGCCAAGTTTTCCTTGCACACGCTCTCGCTGTTTCTGCCTCATAGTCATCTCTGCCTGCTTTTCCAAGACCGCATCTCGCATTTCTGCAATACCTGTCTCCTGAATGAATTTGGGTAGAGTGAAGGGTGGCTTTTCGATACCTCGCTTGGATGACAGATATTCACGCTTGAGCGACCAGTGAGAGGGTACGGGTATGACGTTTTTGGCTGCCTTAATGGAGATTAGTAGCTGGGGATCCGATGATGACACGTCCGTCCACTCGACCAGTTCTGGTCGGGGAACCAGTGCCTTGAGCTGCGCGACCGATAGCTTGTTCATTTGCTTTCTCTGCTTCTTAGAGAGCTTGGGCTTGCCATCGTCTTCATCCTCGTCAGGGATGTCGTCGTCAGAGTGGTAGATCTCAGGCTTTTCATCGTCCTTGGTCGCTGCTTCCTCATCGGTCGGCTCCCTGAACTTTTCGAAAACATTCTTGTATTCCTCGAAGAGTGGGTCGTCGAGATTGTACTGGTTCGCGATATCATCGATGGAAAGTAGGTCCGCGGGCTTCACAGCCTGTGCTTCGTTATTTGTGTCGCTTTCGGGTGCGGGAGATTCGCTCTCACGCGCAGAGTCGCCGGCTGTCGACGGTGTCTCCTTCGAGGCTGTTAGCAAATTGACTCGTGATGCGCGATGGAATAGATATGCGACACGTACAGAGCGCTGCTGCTTCTTCTTCGCACGGCGATAGGCGTTCTTGTTCGCCTGCTTCTTGCCCTTCGCAGTGGCGCCCGACATGATGGCGATAATTACGCGGCGCGGCGTTGAATCCCCGTGTGTTCGCAAGAATCTGCGCTGTGTCCTGCACGTAGACAGAGGTCGCGTTTGGTGATGCGAGGGGGCAGAATGGCGAGAAATGGACGTGCAGCCTGAAGCTGGTAAGCTCGCGCGGAAAGATTGAGCGGACCGTCTTGGCATCGCGGTGCTGACTTGCAACTGGTAACATGACTTCACGGCCAATGACATGCGAGCAAAATCATAATCAATTCACTTGCCGGAGTGATGACTAGAAAAAAACACAATAGGAACTGAAAACACGATAATGTTATTGTTGAATACGAGAAATTCGGGTTCCATGGTATTGATGTCACTGGACCGAATGCCCCCATTCTGCAAGCCGAGTTGCACGAAGGCCATTGATGACCTGCACGTAATTTTTTTTACATAAATCCCGTCAGAAACGACGCCTCTCGTTTTTCAATAACCTTAGAAATCCTCAAGATCGGTCGTCAGCGGCTAACTAAATATCGAGTTAGCTTGTAATTCATGTCCACTTTCATAGCCCAAACCTACCTTGTGGGTCCAGAAACTCCTATGGTGTTTCTTCTGGCCCAATTCATTGATGTCCTTGACTTCTTTTGGCGTCAACTTGAAGGTCAGCGCTCGCAAGTAGTCACTCAGACGTTGCTCCTTGCTACTGGTCGTGATCGGTACAATGTCCTGATCAATGCACCACCTCAGATATATCTCATTCTCGCTCACGGCATACTTCTTGGTCAGTCCTTCTACGTATTCATCTACAGGACCACCCTTCGCTCTGGTAGCTGCTGTCAGAGGTGAATAGGCGGTGGTAGCGATGCCGTTCTGCTTGTGAAATTCAAGAAGCTTTTCGTGCTGAAGGTAAGGATGGAATTCGATTTGG